CGATCTCCTGACCTCGTGATCCGCCCGTCTCGGCCTCCCAAAGTGCTGGGATTACAGGCTTGAGCTACCGCGCCCGGCCAAGAGCTCTTTCCTTTTAAGAATAGCTCATTTGCAGGCCGAGTGCAGTGGTTCACACATGTTATCCCAGCACTTTGGGAGGCCAAGGCAGTTGGATCATTTGAGCTCACGAGTTCAAGACCAGCCTGTGCAGGATGGTGAAACCCTGTCTCTACAATAAATACTGGGCATGGTGGCACGTGCCTGTAATCCCCACTACTCAGGAGGCTGAGGTGGGAGGATGGCTTGAGTCTGGGAGGTGGAGGTTGCAGTGAGTCGAGATGGCACCACTGCATCCCAGCATGGATGACAGAACCAGACCTCGTCTCAAAAACAAACAAACAAACAAGCAAGCAAACAAACAACAGCTAATTTACGGCCAGGTATGGTGGCTCACACCTGTAATCCCAGCTCTTTGGAAAGCTGAGGCAGGAGGATCACTTGAGACCTGGAGTTTGACACCAGCTTGGGCAACGTAGTGAGACCCTGTCTCTACAAATAATCTTTTTTTGATGGGACAGGGTTCTCACTCTGTCACCCAGGCTGGGGTACAGTGGCACAATCACAGCTCACTACAGCCTCAACCTCCCAGGGTCAAGTGATCCTCCCACCTCAGCCTCCCGAGTAGCTGGGACTATAGGCGCAGGCCATTGCGCCTGGCTAATTTTTTATATTTTGTAGAGACGGGGTCTTGCTATGTTGCCCAGGCTGATGTTGAACTTCTGGGCTCAAGAGATCTGCCCACCTCGACTTCCCAAAGTGTTGGGATTACAGGCATGAGCCACTGCACTTGGCCCTCTACAAATAATTTTTAAAATTATTTTAATATTTTAAAAGTTGAAGGTTGTATTTGTTTTGTTTTTTTCTATGAGTTTTACTTCCCCTTTTCATTTTGTTTCAGCTTGTCTGGAAATGGTACATGCCATTTCTTCACCCATAGGGCTTCACAACATCAGCACTGCTGACATTTGGCGCTGATCAGCGTCTGGGGTGAGGCCATCCTGGGCACCTCACGGTATTAAGCAGCATCTCTGGCCTCCACTCTTCAGACGCCAAGAGCAACACCTCCACCCCTTGTGGTGACAACTAAAAAATGTCTCCAGACATCAACATGTGTTCCCTTGGAGCAGAACCACCGCCTCCTATGAGAGGCGTGGATGTGGTGGTTACAAAGGATGCATCAACAAAAATCAAAATGTTTGGCCAGGTGCAGTGGCTCAGGCCTGTAATCCCAGTACTTTGGGAGACTGAGGCAGGTGAATCACTTGAAGCCAGGAGTTCGAGACTAGCCTGGCCAATATGGTGAAACCCATCTCTATTAAAAATACACAAAAAAGGCTCGGCACGATGGCTCACGCATGTAATCCCAGCACTTTGGGAGGCCGAGACGGGCGGATCACGAGGTCAGGAGATCGAGACCATCCTGGCTAACACAGTGAAACCCCATCTCTACTAAAAAATACAAAAAATTAGCCAGGCGTGGTGGCGGGCATGTGTAGTCTCAGCTACTCAGGAGGCTGAGGCAGGAGAATGGCGTGAACCCGGGAGGTGGAGCTTGCAGTGAGCTGAGATGGCGCCCCTGCACTCCAGCCTGGGCGAAGAGTGAGACTCCATCTCAAAAACAAAAACAAAAAACAAAGAAACACACAAAAGGCCGGGCACGGTGGCTCATGCCTATAATCCCAGCACTTCAGGAGGCCAAGATGGGTGGATCACGAGGTCAGGAGATCAAGACCATCCTGGCTAACACAGTGAAACCCCGTCTCTACTAAAAATACAAAAAATTAGCCAGGCATGGTGGCGGGCATCTGTAGTCCCAGCTACTCAGGAGGCTGAGGCAGGAGAATGGCGTGAACCCGGGAGGCGGAGCTTGCAGTGAGCCAAGATTGTGCCACTGCACTCCAGACTGGGTGACACAGTGAGATTCCATCTCAAAAAATAAAAAAAAATTTAAAAAATACACGCACAAAATAATTAAAATGTTTATCTTCCCTCTGAACCACACACAAAGACCTCAACCACCCCCTTCCATCTTTCCTATTTCATTATTTTTTTGAGACAGAGTCTTGCTCTGTTGCCCAGGCTGGAGTGCAATGGCACGATCTCAGCTCACTGCAACCTCTGCCTCCCGGGTTCAAGCAATTCTCCTGCTTCAGCCTCCTGAGTAGCTGGGATTACAGGCACCTGCCACCGCACCTGGCTAATTTTTGTATTTTTAACAGAGATGGGGTTTCACCATTTTGGCCAGGCTGGTCTCAAACTCTTGACTTCATGATCCACCACCTCGGCCTCCCAAAGTGCTGGGATTACAGGTGTGAGATACCACACCCGGCCGTATCTTTCCTATTTTTTTCTCATCGTGGTTCCATCTGATTTTTCTCCTTACACTGCTTTTTGTTTTTATTTTTATTTTCATTTTTTGTTTTGGTTTTATATTTTTGAGACAGGGTCTTGCCCTGTCTCCCAGGCTGGCATGCAGTGGTGCAATCACAGCTCACTGCAGCCTCAACCTATGGGGCTCAATAAATCCTCCTACCCTGACCTCCTGAGTAGCCAGGAGTACAGGTGTGCACCACGACACCCAGCTAATTTTTGGATTTTTTGTAGAGACAGGGTTTCACCATGTTGCCCAGGCTAGTCTCAAACTCCTGAGCTCAAGTGATCCTCCTGCCTCAGCTGTCCAAAGTGCTGGGATTACAGGCGTGTGCCACTGTGTCTGGCCATATTTTCTTTTTCTTTTTTTCTTTTTTTTTTTTTCAAGACCAAGTCTCACTCTGTCACCCAGGCTGGAGTGCAGTTGCACGATCTCCACTCACTGCAAGCTCTGCCTCCTGGGTTCACGCCTTTCTTCTGCCTCAGCCTCCCGAGTAACTGGGACTACAGGCGCCCGCCACCACACCTGGCTAATTTTTTGTATTCTTTAGTAGAGACAGATTTTCACCATGTTAGCCAGGATGGTCTCGATCTCCTGACCTCGTGATCTGCCCGCCTTGGCCTCCCAAAGTGCTGGGATTACAGGTGTGAGCCACCACGCCCAGCCTGGCCATAGTTTCATTTTTTTTTTTAAAGACAGGGTCAAGCTCTGTCACCCGGGCTGGAATACAGAGGTGAGATGATAGCTCACTGCAGCCTCAAACTCTCGGGCCCAGTGGATCCTCCAGCCTCAGCCTTCCAAGTAGCTGGAACCACAGGTGCATGCCACCATGCCCAGCTAATTTATTTTTTGGAGAGACAGGGTCTCCCTGTGTCTGAATCCTTATTTTTAATATATTTTTCATTTTTATCCACATAACAGAAGTACAAATTTCAGAAGTCAAACATCACTCAAAGGGCATCTCCTGATGCCTGTTCTGGGAGCCACTGCGTGTCAGCTCTTTCTGTGGCTTTTCTTGAGACAGGGTCTCACTCTGTCATCGAGGCTGGAGTGCAGTGGCGTGATCACGGCTCACTGCAGCTTCAAACTCCCGGGCTCAAGAGATCCTTCTGCCTCAGCCTCCCACGTAGCTGGGACTACAGGTATACACCACCATGTCTAGCTAATTTTTTTTTAATCTTTAGTAGAGAGGAGGTCGTGGTATGTTGCTCAGGCTGGTCTCAAACTTCCTGGGCTCAAGCGATCCTCCTGCCTCGGCCTCTCAAAGTGCTGGGATTACAGGTGTGAGCCAGCATACCCAGCCCGATGAAATTTTTAAAAAAGAAAAATCTTAAACCCTTCTAAGTCAGGGAACTGTCTGTATACATCTTACTTATACAAAAAGGTTACATATGCACCTTACATTGTTTTTGTTTTGAGACGGAGTCTCACTTCGTCACCCAGACTGGAGTGCAGTGGCATGATCTTGGCTCACTGCAACCTCCGCTTCCCAGGTTCATGCGATTCTCCTGTCTCAGCCTCTCGAGTAGCTGGGATCACAAAGTGTGTGCCGCCATGCCTGGCTAATTTTTTTGGTATTTTTAGTAGAGACAGGGTTTCACCATGTTGGCCAGGCTGGTCTTGAACTCCTGACCTCAGGTGATTGGCCCGCCTCAGCCTCCCAAAGTGCTGGGTTACAGGCGTGAGCCACGGCACCCAGCCTGCACCTTACATTGTAACACACATGTGCACACACCCCGGAGTCACAGCTACAGGACAACTTCAGAGTCCACGAAGGCCCCACGTCCCTTCCCTGGGTCACAAAGACCTCAATATGCCCCTCCCTGTGTGTGACCTCTATACAAAGTCACCTGCATACCTGTGGCAGATGCTGGCATCACCGTGGGCTCCCCGCCCTCCCATTTATTCAAACAGGTTTTCCCCTGAGGTTTCCCTGCCCGTCTAACCTTCTCCTGGCACTCCCTCATGAGGCATTTCTCTCACCTGCCTGCCCGTCCCAGGCCACCTGCACTCTCAGCTGGGACTCCACCTTCCTCTGATTTCTGGTCTCTTCCATCCTGCTTTTGGACTTTTCCTGGGACACTTGTATTTCTTCTCTTTTTCCTCCTTTTCTTTTTTTTTGAGACAGAGTTTTACTCTGTCATGCAGGCTGGAGTGTGACGCGATCTTGGCTCACTGCAGCTTCCACCTCTCAGGTTCAAGCGACTCTTCAGGATCATTATTCTCAGTAGCTGGAACTATAGGCATGCGCCACCATGCCTACTTTTTGTATTTTTAGTAGAGATGGGGTTTCACCATGCGTTGACCAGGCTGTTCTCGAACTGCTGGCCTCAAGTGATCTGCCCGCTTTGGCCTCCCAAAGTTCTGGGATTTGGGATTGCAGGCGCGAGCTGCCGTGCCTGGCCTCCTCCTTGCTTTCCCTTCTCCTCCCAGACCTTTGCTCCCCTCTCAGTCCTGATCCTTTCTCCCTCCTGCGCAGCCCGCACCCTGCACCCGGGCAGGTGCCACAGGGATGTGCAAGGCAGCTACCACCCTGCACACGCCCAAGTTCCAAACCACTCACACCCTGTTTGTAAAAATCGGCGTGCTCCTTTATTTGTTCAGAAGAGCAGCCAGCATCACCCCCACCACTCAAACCTGACACACACGCTTCGGAGACAATGGCCTCGGGACCCTCATGCTGCTGGGCCCAGGAGAGACAGTTCTGAGGCAGAAACTCGGCGTCCAAGGGGGGCCGCGGCTCAGGCACTGCGGTGAAGGGAACAGCAGGGAGTCCGGCCCCACCTTGCTGCTGGGGACACGAGGGCACACACAGAGGGGGCAGGCTAGTGTCCTGCTGACCCAGGACAAGACCTCAGCGCCACAGGAGGATCTGCAGGCAGCTAGGAGCCTGCCAAGTGCTGGTGGAAGTAGAGGCCGAAGAGGCTGCAGAGCAGCTGGCAGGCCGCCGTCCACCAGATGAGGTAGGCCAGGATGCCGCGGAGAAAGAGGGGCGTGAGCAGGCCACCCAGGGACCCGGCGATCCGTGCTGCAGTCTGCTGGACCTCGTCCTCCCCAAAGCCGATGGAGGCAGCACTGGCTGAGGATGGGTTGGGGGATAGTAGAGGGGCTGGGCCCAGGCCCCAGGAATAGCCTCCTAGGAGAAGAGGATGAAGCGAGGTATGAGTGGAGAAATGGGGGAGGGGGTGAGGGGCAGGGCTGGCATGAGGGGCCGGGCCCATTCCTCCAGACACTCCCACCCCTGTCTCAGACTCCACCTCCTGCCGGGTCTCCACCCCCTCAGGCGCCGCCACCTGTCCAAGGCAAGCCTTATCCCTGGCCCCACCTCCTGCTCAGTTCCTGCCTCACTACATGCCCTTCCCCCTACCCAGGCCCCACCTCCTGCCAAGACCCAACCCCTCCCCAGGCTCCACCTCCTAAGGCACACCCCATCCCAAACTCCACCTCCTGCTCATAACCTGCCCCACCACAGTCCCCGCCCCCTTCCCAGGCCCCACCTCCTGCCAAGAGCCAACCCTCCTCAGGCTCCACCTCCTAAGGCAAACCCCATCCCAAACTCCACCTCCTGCTCAGAACCTGCCTCACCACAGTCCCTACCCCCTGCCCAGGCCCCGCCTCCTCCCCCCGGCCTCCCCAAGACTCCAACTTCACTGTGTTTTATCTTCCAGCCCCGCCCTCCTCCACCTCCACACGGCAGCATCTCACCCAGCGTCTTGAGCAGGAGTGTGCAGTTGAGGGTGAGGATGAGCGGCGTCAGGTACTGCAAGCTCACCACGGTCACGTAGCAGTAGACCCGGACCACCTGTGGGCAGGTAACAGGGGTGGCTACAGCAGGAAGCCTTCTGGGTTTGGGAGGACTCCACGCCCAAAGGACTAGGAACCCTGCCCTCAGCCCCAAGTTCCCTCTGGCCTAGGTCATCGGGGAGTCCATACCCTCCGCTGGATTTCACGGGCTTCGATGCGGCCAGCCTCCCTTCGCAGCTGCTCCACGCGGGCCTTGGCCAGGCACAGGTAGGCCTGCAGGTGGGGCCGGGTCACCGCAAGCCGCAGCAGGCACAGCACTACCAGCAGCCAAAGGCGCCCGGAGTCGAAGGCAGAGTCGGACAGCCTGTGCGGATCGGGGCGGGGTAAGGGGCTAGGAAGGCCGCCCCTCACCCCCCAGGATCTTCCCCAGGTTCCTCCCTGAGTCTCAGAGGTTGGAGCACCCAGGGGAGCCCCACCCGATACGCACAGGGAGAAGGGCCTTTCCCCAAACGGCGGCTGGTGCAGGAAGTCCCGTGCAATGGGCTTTGTCCAGAGCCACAGGATGAACAGGGGAGACAGGAAGCTGGTGTGCAGGAGGAACCTAGGGGGTGACAGCAGGAGAGAGTGAGGCCTGGGCACCCCCTCTTCCCCAGCCCCTCCCTTAGGGCCCCTAATCCCCCCACCCACCAAGCGACCCACGTAACTGCAGCATGGGCCGGTCCTCCGACATGGTCAGCGCGTCCCGGTGGGTCTGGGCCAGCCGTAGGCCTGGGAAGGTGAGGAAGGCACCCAGCACAGAGCCCACCACCGCCAGCCCCACACGGATAGCCAGCTTGGCCACAGGGAGCCTAGGAGAACACCAGGTCACAAGCTTGCCTGGGGGACCCTGGGAGGGTCCCATCCTGCCCTTGCTCCCCTCCCCCATTCCCAGGACTCACACCCAGTCCCAGTCCTGCTTCTTCAGAAGTGGCTCCAAGTTCTGGGTCATGCTGGCCAGGCCTGGGGACGATAAGAAGAGGACCGAATAGAGTGAATTCCTAGGGTCTCTGAGGCCACTCTGTTCCCTAATCCCCCATCCCTCAAGCATCCATTTGCTCCCCAAGTAGGAATGCACCAGGCCCTGTGCCAGGCATAAGGACAACTTTGTGCTCTAGTTACACAGCACTCTTTACAAGAAACAAGGTCAGTGTGTTGGCTCACGCCTTCAGCACTTTGAGAGGCCGAGGCAGGCGGATCACCTGTGATCAGGAGTTTGAGACAAGGCTGGCCAACATAGTGAAATCCTGTCTCTACTTAAAATACAAAAATTAGCTGGGCGTGGTGGCAGGTGCCTGTAATCCCAGCTACTTGAGGCAGGAGAATCGCTTGAACCTGGGGGGCGGAGGTTGCGGTGAGCCTAGACCGCACCATTGCACTCTAGCCTGGGGGATAAGAGTGAAACTCAGTCTCAAAGAAAAAGAAACAGAATGTACCAGGCAGATACTCCTGATTGGGCTGGGAACATTCAGGGGTATCTGTTGAGCCTGAGCTCCCTAGGTTATAGAAGGAATCTGGAGGGGGATGAAGGACTCCTGCGGGAGAAAACCAAAGTCCTCCTGGAGGAAGGAATCCTCAGTTCAGGACCCAAGATTGTGCAGTGGCTCGCACCTGTAACTCAGCACTTTGGGAGGCCAAGGCGGGTGGATCATTTGAGCTCACAAGTTCGAGACCAGCCTAGGCAACATGGCAAAACCCCCATCTCTACAAAAAATACAAAACCAGGAGTGGTGGTGCACGCCTGTAGTCCCAACTACTCTGAAGGCTGAGGTGGGAGGATGGGTTGGGCCCAGGATGTGGAGGTTGCAGTGAGCTGAGATCATGCCATTGCACTCCAGCACAGAGTGAAACTTTGTCAAAAAAAAAAAAAAAAAAAAAAAAGGAGAAAATTCATATGAGCTCACAGGCAAAATCAACAAATGCATAAGGAAACAAATCACCATAAAGGAGAGTTAACAGAAAAACAACAGTCAAGTTTAGGCCTCAAAGACTTCAGAACTTGGTGCTGTCAATTATGTGTCAGATGACTAAGGAAATGAAAGCTGTAATCACAGAACAGGTGACATGAGACTACCTTCAGATGACTGGGTAGAATTGCAAAGGAACCAAATTAAACTCTTCTAAAGGGAAAATGTAAGTGTTGAAATAATAGATTGTTAAACAGCACATTAGGAACAGCCAAAGGAGGAACTGATGAACTGGAAGACAGATCTGAAGAAATCACTCAGATTCCAACTCAGAAAAGTAGGTGAGAAATACGAAGAGAGAGGCTAAGAGAATAAGGAAGACAGAACAGAAAGTCCAATGCAAATCAAATCAGAGCCCCAGAGGTAGGGAAGAGAAGGAATGAAGAATAAAAGGAATTACTGGAAGAGAATAGTTGAGAAGTTTGCAGAATGAAAGACACACACAAAGTATATCAAACCATGTAAATAAAAAGAAATCCATACCTAGACACAATGGAGTGAAACTGCAGAACACCAAATACAAAAAAACACAAAGCAGCCGGGGAGTTAAGACATTTCACCTATAAAGGAACAACAATTAGGCTGACAGCTAATGTCAACTGCAACAACAGAAAAGGAACAAATAGAAAGCAAAAAAGTAAGATGGTAGAAACAAAGTCAAATGTCAGTTATCACAATAAATGTAAGTAGACTAAACTTTAAAGTTACATGACAAAGACTATCAGACTACATTGAAAATATCCAGCTACATGTTTTTTTAAAGGATGACATACCTTGACATAAAGTCACTGGAAGATTGAAAGTAAAGGGATGTTAAAAAGATACAGCAAATACTAATCAAAAGAAAGCAAGCGGCCGGGCGCGGTGGCTCACGCCTGTAATCCCAGCACTTTGGGAGGCCGAGACGGGCGGATCACGAGGTCAGGAGATCGAGACCATCCTGGCTAGCACGGTGAAACCCCATCTCTACTAAAAAATACAAAAAACTAGCTGGGCGAGGTGGCAGGCGCCTGTAGTCCCAGCTACTTGGGAGGCTGAGGCAGGAGAATGGCATAAACCTGGGAGGGGGAGCTTGCAGTGAGCTGAGATCCGGCCACTGCACTCCAGCCTGGGCGACAGAGCGAGACTCCGTCTCAAAAAAAAAAGAAAGAAAGCTAGAAAGGCTACACTACTACCAGCCAAACTGGACTAAGAAGTAGTATTAGAATAGGCCGGGCGTGGTGGCTCACACCTGTAACTCTAGCACTTTGGGAGGCCGAGGCAGGTGGATCACAAGGTCAGGAGTTCAAGACCAGTTTGGCCAACATGGTGAAACCCTGGCTCTACTAAAAATACAAAAATTAGCTGGGCATAGTGGCAGGTAATACCAGCTACCTGGGAGGCTGAGGCAGGAGAACCACTTGAACCCAGGAGGCAGAGGTTGCGCCATTGCACTCCAGCCTGGGCAACAAGAGCAAAACTCCATCTCGGAAAAAAAAAAAGAGAAGTAAAAAAGAAGTAGTATTAGAAGATAGAAGGGGTCCATACATCATGATAAAATGGCTGATTCACCAGGAAAATGTAGCAGTTCTAAATCTGTGAACACCTTGTGAATAGGCTATAAAATATATAAAGAAAACACTGACAGAATTGATAAGGAAATTGAGAGCTCTGTTGTCCCAGAGGGAGACTGACTTCTGCTGACTGATATGTCACAGACAAAAGGTTAGGCAAGATGGAGATTTGAATTTATTAAACTCATAGAGCCAGAGAATATGTCCTTCAATTACAACACGTGAAAAAAGGCAACACAACAACAGAATATGTCAAGAAAACATGGAACAGTCACAAAATCTGATCACGTTCCAGGCCATAGGGCAAACCTTACCAAATTTTAAATAAATTATTTCAAATAGACCATCTGTGCAATTGAGCTAGAAATAAATATGTATTTTTTAAAGGTCTATGTTTGAAAAATTTTTTTTTTTTTTTTTTTTTTTTTGAGGCGGAGTCTCGCTCTGTCGCCCAGGCTGGAGTGCAGTGGCGTGATCTCGGCTCACTGCAAGCTCCGCCTCCCGGGTTCCTGCCATTCTCCTGCCTCAGCCTCCCGAGTAGCTGGGACTACAGGCGCCGCCACCACGCCCGGCTAATTTTTTTGTATTTTTAGTGGAGACGGGGTTTCATTGTGTTAGCCAGGATGGTCTCGATCTCCTGACCTCGTGATCCGCCCGTCTCGGCCTCCCAAAGTGCTGGGATTACAGGCTTGAGCCACCGCGCCCGGCCTGAAAAATTTAAAAATATTTAATAATCCATAGGTCAAAGCATAGCAAGACCCCATCTCTACAGAAATCAGAAGGGAAATGTTAAAACATCCCAAACAGAACAATAAAAAATATCAACCAAAACTTGGGTGAACTGTCGGGCGTGATGGCTCACACCTGTAATCCCAGCACTTTGGGAAGCCAAGGCAGGTGGATCACCTGAGGTCAGGAGTTTGAGACCAGCCTGGCCAACATGGTGAAACCTCTTCTCTACTAAAAATACAAAAATTAGCCAGGCGTGGTGGCGTGCACCTGTAATCCCAGCTATTCAGGAGGCTAAGGCAGGAGAATCACTTGAACCTAGGAGGCAGAGGTTGCAGTGAGCTGAGATTGCACAATTGCACTCCAGCCTGAGTGACAAGACCAAAACTCTATCTCAAAAAAAACCTCCAAAAAGCAAAAAAAAAAAAAAAAAATTAGGTGAACAAAAGTGAGAGACCTGATAAAATATGTATAACATTAAATGCTATATATGCTATAAACTTAGAAAAGACTGAAAATTTATGAGCCAAGTAGCTAACTGAGAAATCAGAAACAAGAAAAGGAGGTACATCACTACTGTTCTAAAATCCAGAGGTCCTAGTCACACCAAAAGGGAAAGATCAGACAAGACAAAAGAAAACCAAAAAGAACCTGGAATTCAATAAAAATACAATTCTTTTTTTTTTTTTTTTTTTTTTTGAGACGGAGTCTTGCTCAGTCGCCCAGGCTGAAGTACAGTGGCGTGATCTCGGCTCACTGCAAGCTCTGCCTCCCGGGTTCACGCCATTCTCCTGCCTCAGCCTCCCAAGTAGCCGGGACTACAGGCGCCCACCACCACACCTGGCTAATTTTTTGCATTTTTAGTAGAGACGGGGTTTCACCGTGTTAGCTAGGATGGTCTCGATCTCCTGACCTTGTGATCCACCCGCCTCGGCCTCCCAAAGTGCTGGGATTACAGGCGTGAGCCACCACGCCCGGCCTAAAAATATAATTCTTTAGCAAGGTTAAATTCTTTAGCAAATTTGACCCCTACATCATAACACAAAAATTAATATCACTGTCCATCAGCGACAGTGAGGAGTTTAGGAGCTTATATAAAATGTAAAAGTTGAAATATTTTATTTTATTTTATTTATTTTTAAGATGGAGTCTTGCTCTTGTCGCCCAGGCTAGAGTGCAATGACGCGATTTTGGCTTACTGCAACCTCCGCCTCCTGGGTTCAAGCGATTCTCCTGCCTCAGCCTCCAGAGTAGCTATTACAGGTGCACGCCACCTCGCCCAGCTGCTTTTTGTATTTTTACTACAGATGGGGTTTCACCATGTTGACCAGGCTAGTCTTGAACTCCAGACCTCAGGCAATCCACCCGCCTCGGCCTCCCAAAGTGTTCGGATTACAGGCATGAGCCACCACGCCTGGCCGAAATATTTTAGAATAAAATATAGAATGACTTTCTGATTTTAGGGAAGGATATTTTTCAAGACAAATATCAACTAAAATAATCAAATAACATTCATCAAGATACTAGAGGTGACGCTTACAACTACGTTCAATGGCTCAGCAAAGAAAGTGTGATGCATGTATGCAGACGGAAAATAATGCAAATAGTGGTCAAGTGAAAAGAAAAAGAAAACAAGTATTGGCAATGAAGTGGAGAAATTGTGCACTTGTGCACTGCTGCTGGGAATATAATATATAAAATGGGCCAGGCACAGTGGTGCATGCCTATAATCCCAGCACTTTGGAAGGCCGAGGCTGGCACACTGCTTGAGTTCAAGAGTTTGAGACCAGCCTGGGCAACATGGCAAAATCCGTCTCTATTAAAAATACAAAAATTATCTGGGTGTGGCTGGGTGCGGTGACTCACACCTGTAATCCCAGCACTTTGGGAGGCCAAGATGGGCAGATCGCCTAAGGTCAAAAGTTCAAGACCAAAAAAAAAAAAAAAAAAAAAAATTTTTAGCTGGGTGTGGTGGTAGGAGCCTATAGTCCCAGCTACTCGGGAGCCTGAGGCATGAGAATCATTTGAATCCAGGAGGCGGAGGTTGCAGTGAGTGGAGATCATGCCACCACCGCACTCCAGCCTGGGCAACAGAATGAGACTCTGTCTCAAAAATAAAATAAAATGGTTCAGCTGCTGTATAAAACGGTATGGCAGTTCCTCAAAAAAGTAAAAGTAGAATTATCATATAATCCAGCAGTTCCACTTCTGGATATATCCCCTCCAAAACTGAAAATGGAGTCTCAAAGAGATACTTGTACACTCAGGTTCACAGCAGTATTAGTCAAAAAGCCAAAAGTTGGAAACAACCCAAGCAAATGTTCATCCGTGGACAAATAAACAAAATGTGTTCCATCCAGACAATGAAATACTGTTCAGTCTTAAAAATGGAATTCTGGCTGGGCACAGTGGCTCACGCCTGTTATCCTAGCACTTTGGGAGGCTGAGGTGAGAGGATTGCTCAAGGCCAGGAGTTTGAGACCAGCCTGGGAAGCATAGCAAGACCCCATCTCTACAGACAAAAAAGTAAAAATTAGCCAGGCATGGTGGCACGTGACTGTGGTCCCAGCTACTTGGAAGGCTGAGGTGGGAGATCACTTGAGCCCTGGAGGTCAAGGCTGCAGTGAGTTGTGATTGCACCACTGCACTCCAGCCTAGATGACACAGTGAGATCCTGTCTCAAAAAAAGAAAAAAAATCTAACACCTGCTACAACATGGATATGATTTGAGGACATTGTGCTAACTGAAATGAGCCCATCACAAAAGGACAAATACTGTATGATGCCACCTATATGAGGAACCCAGAGTGGTCACATTCACAGAGACAGGACATAAAATGGTGGGTATCAGGGGCTGCAGAAGGAGGAACAGGGAGTTAGTGTTTAATGGGATGGAGTTTCAGTTTTGCAAGAGGAAAGAGTTGTGGAGATGGATGGTGGTGATGGTTCCACAATAATCTAAATAGACTTTTTTTTTTTTTTTGAGACAGAGTCTCGCTCTGTCTCCCAGGCTGGAGTGCAGTGGCGTGATCTCATCTCACTGCAAGCTCTGACTCCTGGGTTCACACCATTCTCCTGCCTCAGCCTCCCAAGTAGCTGGGACTACAGGTGCCCACCACTACGCCCAGCTAATTTTTTGTATTTTTAGTAGAGACGGGGTTTCACCATGTTAGCCAGGATGGTCTTGATCTCCTGACCTTGTGATCTGCCTGCCTCAGCCTCCCAAAGTGCTGGGATTACACACATGAGCCACCACGCCTGGCCTATCTTTTTTTTTTTTTGAGATGGAGTTTTACTCTTGTTGCCCAGGCTGGAGTGCCATGGCTCGATCTTGACTCACCACAACCTCCGCTTCCCAGGTTCAAGCAATACTCCTGCCTCAGCCTCCCAAGTAGCTGGGATTACAGGCGTGTGTCACCACATCCGGCTAATTTTGTATTTTTAGTAGAGACAAAATTTAGGGTTTCTCCATGTTGAGCAGGCTGGTCTCGAACTCCCAACCTCAGGTGATCTGCCTGCCTCAGCCTCCCAAAGTGCTGGGATTATAGACATGAGCCACCACGCTCGGCCATCTAAATATACTTAATGCCACTGAGCTGCACATTTAAAAATGGTTAAGATGGTGAATTTTATGTTTTGTCTATTTTACCACAATGAAAAAAAATTCAAAGAGAAAAAAGATACAAAAATGGGCAACAACGTGAACAGGCATTTCACAGAAATTTCATAGAAGAGACATGAATCATGAATAAACAGGAAAAGGTGCTCAACTTCCCTGGTAATCAGAGAAATGCATGTTAAGGCCACAGAGGGCATCATTCCACATGATGAGGACTAGGTTGGCAAAAATCAAGCCCTATCTATGGATCCTGATTCATTTAAACCTTACTGCCCCCTGGGAGATTGGTGCAGTCACTACCCCACCTACTTCTTATTTGAGGGGTAGGTTTGCAGGTACTCATATTATTATTTTGCTTTATAATTGACATACACGGGCCGGGCGCGGTGGCTCAAGCCTGTAATCCCAGCACTTTGGGAGGCCGAAACGGGCAGATCACAAGGTCAGGAGATCGAGACCATCCTGGCTAACACGGCGAAACCCCGTCTCTACTAAAAATACAAAAAATTAGCCGGGCGAGGTGGCGGCGCCTGTGGTCCCAGCTACTCGGGAGGCTGAGGCAGGAGAATGGCGGGAACCCGGGAGGCGGAGCTTGCAGTGAGCTGGGATCTGGCCACTGCACTCCAGCCTGGGCGACAGAGCGAGACTCCGTCTCAAAAAAAAAAAATAATAATTGACATACACATCTTCTTTGTATATATCAAACATATATAATTTTAAAAACTGAAAAGCAGGGAGAATGGGAGAAGTTAAAACTCAAACAGTCAGCAGGGTCATGTGGGCCATGGTGAGGACTATGGTCTTCTAAGACCCAGGGAGTGTGGTGCCAGGCAGAGAAGTGATGAGGTACAAATTCTATGTTAAAAGGATCATTTAAGAGGCCAGGCATGGTGGCTCACACCTGTAATACCAGCACTTTGGGAGGCTGAGGTGGGCAGATCGCTTGAGCTCAGGAGTGTGAGACCAGCCTGGGCAACACAATGAGACCCTGTCTCAATAAAAATAAATAAATAAATAATTTTTTTTTAAAATGAAAAAAAAGAGCCGGGCGCGGTGGCTCACGCCTGTAATCCCAGCACTTTGGGAGGCCGAGACGGGCGGATCACGAGGTCAGGAGATCGAGACCATCCTGGCTAACACAGTGAAACCCCGTCCCTACTAAAAAATACAAAAAAACTAGCCGGGCGAGGTGGCGGGCGCCTGTGGTCCCAGCTACTCGGGAGGCTGAGGCAGGAGAATGGCGGGAACCCGGGAGGCGGAGCTTGCAGTGAGCTGAGATCCGGCCACTGCACTCCAGCCTGGGCGGCAGAGCGAGACTCCGTCTCAAAAAAAAAAAAAAAGAAAAAAGAAAAAAAGAGGCCACACACAGTGGCTCACACCTGTAATCCCAGCACTTGGGGAGGCTGAGGTGGGTGGGTCACCTGAGGTCAGGAGTTTGAGACCAGCCTGGCCAACATGGTGAAACCCCATCTTTATTAAAAATAAAAAAATTAGCCAGGCTTGGTGGTGTGCACCCATAATCCCAGCTTGGGAGGCTGAGGCAGGAGAATCACTTGAATGCAGGAGGCAGAGGTTGCAGTGAGCTGAGATCATGCCACTGAACTCCTGCCTGGGTGACAAAAGTGAGACTCCATCTCAAAAAAAAAAAAAGAAAAAGAAAGAAGAGCTATAGCCATGAGTATCCATCAGAGACGGTGAGAAAGGGAAGGTCCTCTCTTCCCCAAAGCCCAATGAGGTTCAGGAGTTGAGATAGTCACTAATGGGGGCTGTCTTCACCCCAGGAGCCCACTCCTTTACCTATTCATGCTGGACACCGAGCCAGTGAAACCAGCCTGGTCAGATTACATGAGGGAGTGACAGCTGTGGCGCCCCCACGTTGGGGGCTGCACTTACCAGGCTCCAGGCCCAGCTCGAGGGTGTCCTCCCGCACCACCTGTACCAGCATGGCCAGCAGCAGGAAGAGGAAGGCAAAGGTGAGGCAGACAGAGCGCTCACCCCCCTCCTCGGCACTGAAGTACAGCCGTGTCACTGTCAGGAACATCTTGCTGGAGGCTAGAGCTAAGGAGGCCTCAGTTGCCACTGCCCCACTCTGCCCATTTCACCACACCCCACCTGGGAACTCCCGGGAACAAGCACTGCTGCACAAACAGGCCTTGGGGATGACCTAGAGGAGTTCGGGTTTGGGGTGCTGGATCCCAGATCAGGATGTAAACTGGGGGTTCCTGTTGAGTGGGAGATGGCCTCATCAGGCCACCATGTCTGTTCAGCCTCCCGCCCTGGGTGATCCTGCCTCTTTCACCCACCTCACCTACTTCACATCCCTTGGAAAAGCAATCAGATATAGAAGGGCTTCATCTCCAATCTGCCCTCAAAATGCAGCATTGGGGCCAGACACGGTAGTGCATGCCTGTAATCCCAGCTACTTGGGAGGCTGAGGCAGGAGAATCACTTGAACCCGGGAGACGGAGGTTGTAGTGCCTAAATCATGCCACTGCACTCCAGCCTGGGCAACAAGAGCAAAACTCCATCTCAAAAAAAAAAAAAAAAAAAAAAGCATGGGAATCTGGGGAACCAGTGGATTTTGAGACAGGTTTCCCTCTCCAAGAGTCACAGGAGTGGCATTCTTTCTGTGCTTCCTCAAACTTGGGTCCCTAAAGTCATATGTTTGCTCTCTTTGGGAGGCCAAAGCAGGAGAATCACTTGAAGCCAGTCAGGACCAGCCTAGGCAACAAAGCAAGATCCCATCTCAACAACAACAAATATATATACATATACACATATACATACACATACATACATACATATTTATGTGTGTGTGTGTGTGTATATATAAAATTTGGGGGGGGGGGAGGAATTCACTCTTGTCACCCAGGCTGGAGTGCAATAGCATGATCTCGGCTAACTGCAACCTCTACCTCCCGGGTTCAAGCGATTCTCCTGCCTCAGGCTCCTAAGTAACTGGGATTACAGGCATGCACCACCGTGCCTGGCTAATTTTTGTATTTTTAGTAGAGAAGGGGTTTCTCCATGTTGGTCAGGCTGGTCTTGAACTCCTGACCTCAGGTGATCCACCCACCTTGGCCTCCCAAAGTGCTGGGATTACAGGCATGAGCCACTGTGCCCGGCTAATTTTTGTACTTTTAGTAGAGATGGGGTTTCACCATGTTGGCCAGGCTGGTCTCGAACTCCAGACCTCAGGTGATCCGCCTGCCTCAGCCTCCCAAAGTGCTGGGATTACAAGTGTGAGCCACCATGCCTGGAGTATACATTTTTTAAAATTTTGCCAAGGGGCCATCTCTTTCTTGGCCTTGATTGTGGACTGGCCTGGTGATTTCCTTACACAAGGAGAATGTGGTAGAAAGAAAAGGGATGGGGTGGGTGACTTTGGGCAAGGCATTCCCTCTTGCCTCCTGGCATTTCTACTGCCACTGAATGGCATGATCCTGTGGAGTGGAGATTAACCGACTTGCTGAGCCCCGCCCAGTCTGTTCACCCACAGAACCAGAGCACATAAAATGTCTGCTTCATGCCACCAAGCTTGGGGAAGTTTGTGGCACAGCAGGTGAAAACTGCCACCCCAGTTTAGGGGAGCCAGGGAAGCTCAGGTCCTGCTCCCATCTGCCCCTCTGGCAGGGAGCAGAGAGGAAGGATACATGGAGAAGGCCACTGTGAGCAGGCACCAGAACACGGCAATGTTAGTCTCCTTGGCTGGACCCAGCACGTAGTAGTAGGCCTCTGTGAAGAGGTACACGCCACCCGAGTACACAGCAAAGTCCACGAACCACTGGTACTCCAGGAAGAAGTGCAGGACTGCGGGGGGCACTCTGCTCAGCCCTGGGGCCCAGCCCGCTCCCCTCCCAACAGCATACTCCTCCTTCAAATCCTCCCCACCCCCATGAGGGTGTGGGGACCTTCAGGGCTGAGGGCGTGGAGTTTAGGGACGGGACTGGGCTATTACCCAGGGCATCCACAGTTGTGAGGGGGCAGGTCTCCAGCTGGAATGGGGCATCTCGGGGCACAGACAGTGGCTTCTCCTCACTAAGGCCATTGGCCCACCTGGGAGGATGGTGACAAGCAAGGGGGCTGGTAAGCACACATCCCACTGGGGCCAGCCACCCTCAGAGCTCAGAGCAGTTGGCCTGGAGACCATCACTTCCTATAGCCTCGGCTCTTCTGCACACTGGGATGTGAGGACCCCCACCACCACCACCCACAGGACTGGCTAGAGCAAACTGCTAGGAAACAGATGCTAACTTGACAGTGATCATCTCCTTGGACTAGGGTCTCCCAGTTCACCTGTGCCCAGATCAGAGTCTGGAAGTGTGGGTAGGCCAGTCCTGTGTCCCTTAGCCCAGAGCCCCCTGAGCAAGGGTGAGGCCGTCCCTGGGGAGGAGCCACCCACCCAAGGCTGGGGATGGGGCCCAGTTCACTCACCGCTCTTTCCTGCCTCTGGGCCTCGGCTTCCCCGCCAAAGCCCGAAGCTCCTCCTCGGACGGGTGCTTGTATCGGAACAGACTGAGAGCAAGGACGGGCAGTCAGGGAAGCTCAGATATGGGGCTGGCAGGTTGAGGCAGTGAACCTCAAATCCAGGGATTCTAGTTAGAGGGTAGCCTAGTTCAGGGGAACACTGGGAGGTAGGTGAGGGTACAGCATGGGGAAATTCTGGGGAAATCGTGAGGCCAACAGATCTAGGCTGAGTGGGCTCAGGAGGCTTGGATACCCCTGAATCTGCTGGCTAACTCTCCTGGGGAAGCAGGTGTGTGCAACTTTTATCTTCTTTTTCCTTTTCTTTCTGAGACAGTCTTGCTCTGTCGCCCAGCCTGGAGTGCAGTGGCACGATCTTGGCTCACTGCAACCTCCACTTCCCGGGTTCAAGTGATTCTCCTGCCTCAACCTCCCGAGGAGCTGGGACTACCGGCATGCACCACGATGCCCAGCTAATTTTTGTATTTTTAGTAGGGACAGGGTTTCACTATGTTGGCCAGGCTGGTCTCAAACTCCTGACCTCAAGTGATACACCCGCCTCAGCCTCCCAAAGGGCTGGGATTACAGGCGTGAGCCACCTCGCCTGGCTTTCTGTTTTTGTTTTTGAGAGAAGGCCTTGGTCGGTCGCCCAGGCTAGAGTACAGTGGCGCCATCTCAGCTCACGGCAGACTCGACCTTCTGGGCTCAAATGATCCTCCCGCCTCAGACTCCTGATTAGCTGGGATCACAGGCGTGAGCCACCATACCCAGCTAATTTTTAAAATTTTTTGTAGAGACGCGGTCTTGCCATGTTGCCCAGGCTGGTCTCAAACTCCTGGGTCAAGTGATCCTCCCACCTTGGCTTCCCCCAGTGTTGGGATTATGGGCCTGAGCCATCATCTCTGACGCGTTTTTTTGCCTTTGTTTTTGTCACATACGTTTTTCTCAGGAGAGAATTCAGTTACCACCAGATTCTCAGAAAGCATCAGAGACCCACACAGGGACAAAAACCAGAGCAGGCGAGCTCTAGCAGGTGCAGGGGTGGAAGGAAGGCTGGGTTACAGGGAGGCAGGAAGAGTGGGGGACGTGGGGAGTGTGGCGATGGTTCCACCCATGTGTACATCTGTCAAAACAGGTCCAATGTATACGTCAAATATATACAGTTTGTGTCAGGCATAGGGGCTCACGCCTGTAATCCTAGCACTTTAGGAGGTCAAAGTGGTAGGATCGCTTGAGCCCAGGAGTTTGAGACCAGCCTGGGCAACTTAGCAAGACCCCATCTCTATTAAAAGTTAAAAAATTGTGGCCGGGCGCGGTGGCTCAAGCCTGTAATCCCAGCACTTTGGGAGGCCGAGGCGGGTGGATCACGAGGTCAGGAGATCGAGACTATCCTGGCTAACATGGTGAAACCCCGTCTCTACTAAAAATACAAAAAACTAGCCGGGCGTGGTGGCGGGCGCCTGTAGTCTCAGCTACTCGGGAGGCTGAGGCGGGAGAATGGCGTGAACCCGGGAGGCGGAGCTTGCAGTGAGCCGAGATTATGCCACTGCACTCCAGCCTGGGAGACACAGCGAGACTCCGTCTCAAAAAAAAAAAAAAATTGTCTGGGCACGGTGGTGCACACCTGTAGTCCCAGCTACTCAGGAGGTTCAGGCAGGAGGGCCACCTGAGCCCAGAAGGTTGAGGTTGCAGTGAGCTATGATCAGACCACTGCACTACAAGCTAGGTAACAATGAGACCCTGTCTCTAAAAAGAAAAAGAAAAAACAAATATATACAGTTTGTTGTACTTCAATTACACCTCAACAACGTCTTTCCCCCCATCACCCACTAACCAAGATCGAGGCCGTGCAATTTGTGAGGGGGAGCGTAGGGAGCCAGAAGGGGGCGTGGTTCCGCGGGGCCCCTCCCACCGCCGGGACACGACTCACCTGCCGTTGCAGAGCAGCCAGCGCGCGAAGGAGCAGTGCGGCGCCAGCCTGTGCATGAGGGTGGCAGTGAGCAGGGTCACCACCAGCTGCACTCCGAGGACCGCCTGGGGGGAGGGGACGTGACTGGCAGCACCTGCCAGAGGGTCACAAGCTCCCTCCCTCCCTAGGAACCCAGGCTATTTATAGAGAAGCCAGGCCCGATGGGGGAAGGGCGAGCCTCTTAGGCTCTAGCAGCTTCTTAGGGGAGAGTCCTGGGGTGAGCCTGGACTCACCTGGCCTGGCCCTGCCCTCTCACGTCAGAGATCAGCAGCACCCCCCCTCCCCCATCACCACCTAGCTGGAGTGTAGGGCAGTGGAGACCATGGGGTTCGCCTCCTGCCTCCACTATGGATTCAGGTATAATATTACTTTCCTGGAGTCTCACTTTTCTCATCTGGAAATGGGTGCTTCCTCTGTAGCCTCCTGTATTCCTCACCACCACCTTCCAGCCCCTAACCACGAGGTCGCCACACTCAGTGCAAGCAACTCCCACCGCCTTCTGCACTCCCACCTTGGGAGCCACTGCGTCCTGGTTGAGCTTCTAGCTTTCTCCTTCCCCCGGTAGCTCCTTCCCCTAAGTGTCTCCCACCTTAAATGATCCCTGATGGTTCCATCACCCTCCTCCCTCTCCTTCCCTTTGTAATTAACCTCCTTGAAAGGGCATCTATGCTCCTGGCCACCTCCTGTTTTGATGTGAAGACCTACATGTCTGAGTGTGGTGAGCTTATTTATTTTTATTTGTGTGTGGTGTGTGGTGTGTGTGTGTGTGTGTGTGGTGTGTGTGTGTGTGTGTTTTGGCAGGGGAGTGGTGGTGGGGAGAATAGGGTCTTGCTCTGCCACCCAGGCTGGAGTGCAGTGACATGGTGGGGTGCTCACTGCAGCCTCAACCTCCCAGGTTCAAGTGATTCTCCCACATCAGCCTCCCTAGTAGCTGGGATTACAGGCACCCGCCAACACACCCAGCTGATTTTTGACTATTTTGTAGAGATAGGGTTTCTCCATGTCGCCCAGGCTGGTCTTGAACGCCTAGGCTCAAGCAGTCCTCCCGCCTTGGCTTCCCAAACTGTTGGGATTACAGGCATGAGCCACTGTGTCAGGCCTATTTTTATTTTTAGAGATGGGGTCTTGCTATGTTGCCCAGGCTGGTCTCAAACTCCTGGGATCAAGTGATCCTTCCACCTCAACCTACTGAGTAGCTAGGACCACAGTCATGCACTAACACACCCAGCTATGACTTTTTTTTTTTTAAATTAGGAATTTTCTCACCCAGTTCTTAATTCAGAACACATTTTCATATACTTATTTTTAAACATTTTAGAAGAATCAGTCTGTGGTGAAGCTGGGTTTTCCTGCTTGAATGCAGTAAATACCCATTTGCTGCCAGTAATTACGTAATTATGTAAAATTATGTGCTCAGGAGAGCTGTCTACTAGTATTCTGGTGTCATAATCAAAATGAAATAAAGTTTAATACTAAAATTAATTATTAAAATAATCCTTTAATCAGGCATAAATAAGCTAAATTTACTCAGAAAAACCCTAATGTGATGGATACCGGGCCTAGCATGGTAATTCGAAACGACCGCTGAGGCCAGGCACGGTGGCTCATGCCTGTAATCCCAGCACTTTGGGAGGCTGAGGCGGGCTGATCACTTGAGGTCAGGAGTTTGAGACCAACCTGGTCAACATGGTGAAACCTTGTCTCTACTAAAAATACAAAAATTAGCGGCATGGTGGCACATGCCTGTAATCCCAGCTACTCGGGAGGCTGAGGCAGGAGAATTGCTTGAACCCGGGAGGCAGAGGTTGCAGTGAGTCGAGATTGCGCCATTGCACTCCAGCCTGAGCAACAGAGTGGGACTCTGTCTCAAAACAAAATAATAATCATAAAAAAATAAAAATAAATAAAATAACAGACTAATAGGACATTTTCTCTGTGCCTGTCACTTATAAACTGAGACCAGAAATCTTTTTTCAGTAATGAGGTTGGTGGCGCCATCTTTCTCATCTCTACATCCTCATTGCTCACCCTCCCCCGGACCCTAGTGCACACTGGCTGGTTGGCTGGCTGGCACTTAAGGACCATGAGTGCCAGCCCATGAGCCCCTGCAAGCCAGTGAGCCACCTGCCCTGCCACTCACCAGTCTGTTTTTCTTCTCTCTCTCGGACCTCTCTCCTGTGACCTGCCAGGGTTTTAACCACCCAATCCACCAACCCATCACAACCTTAGCACAGTAACACCTCCAGCCCAGACCTCTCTGCTGAGCTCAACCAGTAGGCTCCTCCAGGCTCTCCTGAGAGACCCCAACACTCACCCATCATCCCATACCCTTCCAGGTGGTTCAGGCCTTTACCAGTCTCACAGTCAGCCCCCAACTCGGTTCTGCACCCTGCAGGCATAGCTACAGACCCCCCCTCCACCTCCCCATGGCTCAGCTCTCTCCTCAGCCCTCACTGCGCCCAACCACTGGAGTCTCAGAGGTCTTCCTGGACCTTTGGGCTCTTCATCAATGACCCCACCACCTCCCAAAACCCCCTAAGGGAAAAGGTGGTGGAGGGGTGTATCTCTTCACCTAAGGCTTCTAGAGGTCTGTCCTGGGATGTTCTGATAGCCCTGCCCTCCAGCCAGCCTCCTATCTCAAGGTCAGGGCTCCGCAGACATCTCCAAGGATTTTCTTGAGTCTTCCATCAGCTCCTTCTTTTCCCTTTACTGGATTTACGATCCTTGAACCCAAGAACCCTGATAAAATCAATGCAACTTCCCTCCATCTCATTCCCGGGAGCCCGCGCCCTCATCTCCTACAGCGTCCTGCACCTGCGCCTGGGACAACGTCCCACTTTCAATAATCCCGGCCATCAGGGCCCTTCCTTCAGGGCCATCTCCAGCACCCCTCATCGGGGATGGTCCCAGGCAGGGACCCTCCAGTTCTCCAGTTCCACGTCCCTCTCTGCCCAGGCCAGTCGCGTCAGGGTTGTGGGAGTGCCCCATCTACCCGCACCAGCCTGATCCCCTGGGGCTGGGCTAAGTTTTAAGAACATACTCAGTGGGTTGAACCCAGAGCTGAGTGAGACGTGAAGGTTCCAACTGTCCTGTCTCCCACTCTGAGAACTTTGCCCGCCCTGAGGCCACCCAGACCTCCTGAGTCCACTGCCCACGGCTTCCCCTGCCCGTTGCACACACCCCGATATAGAAGGGACCCCTGATGGATCCCGTCGGCGCGGCCCCCACGCTCCTGCAGGACCCCTGTCCCCAGAGTGGACCCCAACAGGCCCCCACACCGCCTTAACACGGTCCAAATGTGCTGAGGTCCGCAGCCCCTCTGTGGGACCACGACCCCATAGCAGGACCCCAAACCCCTAAAAGGTCTCCAGAGAGCGGAATCCCCAGAACGCTTAAGGGCTTCTAGTCTCCCTGGGTACGACCCCCGTCGACTCCTTCGGAGGTCCTGCAGCGAGAGCAGGGCCCCCAGACAGGGACACACGGCCTTCAGCGTGCCCCCGAATCCCTCAGAGCCTCCAATCCCCAAGAAGAGACCACATTCCCTCAGTGTCTCCCTGGACCCCCTCGGCTGGACCCCGGCCCTGCAGAGCCCCCCACTTCGCAAGACGCTCGCTCACCATGGCGCTTGCGGGAGCGCGGTGCACGGACCCACCGGCCTGGGGCTCCGGGCCCTCCACGGGAACTCGACCAATTAGAGCCCGACTCTGATCTGACGAGCATCCCGTGCAACCAATCAGCGTGTTTTGAGCCGGCAAGTCACCAGGGACGAGGAGGCCGCTCGCGTTGCATGCCGGAAATTGTAGTTCAGACACGCTGGTTCTGAGCGATCAAAGTCAAGATTGTGTCTGGGAGGCCTGCGTGGCCCACCTCTCTGGAGGCTCAGTCTTCTCTTACCTAAACTTATTTCAAAGGTTTGCAGCGAAGTCATTTATTCCCACCTAAGGGACATTTCTGAGAGAACTCCCCCCCCCCCCATCAAGAACATTCAATGGCTCCTACTTAGTAGACTAAGTACTTAGTATTCCTAAGTACCAAGTAGGCTAAGTACTCAGACTGAATCCAGACCCCTCTGCCTGACTTAAATCTGCTGCTAGCACTGTGGTGCACCTAATAGTACAGCTTGCACCCACCATGCTCTGTCATACCTCCAGGCTTTTGTAAATATCCTACATCTTGCAATGCCTTCAGGAATGCCTCAATCTTAAAATAAAAACAAAACAAAACCAAAAAAGAATGCCTCAATATTTTTCACCTGGCAAGTGCTTTATTCATCTCTATCAGCCAGGACTCTGGCTGTGCTCCACAAAATATCAACTAAAATAGGTTCAAGCAAAAAAAAGGAAAGTTTATGGCTCATGTGACAGAAAATACTAGCTGTAGGGTCAGCTTCAGGCATGGCTGGATCAAGGACCAAATGTCAGCTTCAGGGATCTGATGTTCTTTATTTCACCGCTAGAAGGAAAGGGCTTCTGGTGTTCGTGCCTGGGTTTTGCCGTTTGTCTTTCTGTGGATGAGTGTGTCTGCCTGAGTGTAGACATATATTGGGTATGACCAAGTGTCTGAGTATCTTTATGGGGGTGGGTTCCTGTGTGGGGGGCCCGTGTAACTACATTTTCATTTGTACATTTTATTATTATTATTATTATTTTTTTTTCCTTGAGACGGAGTTTCCCTCTTGTTGCCCAGGCTGGAGTATAATGGTGCGATCTTGGCTCACCGCAACTTCCGCCTCCCTGGTTCAAGTGATTCTCCTGCCTCAGCCTCCCGAGTAGCTGGGATTACAGGCATGGGCCACCATGCCTCGCTAATTTTGTATTTTTAGTAGAGACGAGGTTCTCCGTGTTCATCAGGCTGGTCTCGAACTCCCGATTTCAGGTGATCCGCCCGCTTCGGCCTCCCAAAGTGCTGGGTTTACAGGCGTGAGCCCCCGGGCCTAGTTTACATTTTATTTTTTTAACTTTTGGCAAGTGCTGAATCTTAAGCGCACTATCGCACGCCACCTCGTGGTGGAGGGCAAAAGTGCAGTCTCCCTGGGATGGAGAAGCCGAACCAGTCTCACCAGTGGCCCTGGGGGCTCCCAGTCTTAGAAAGCAACCCATAATTTAATGGACCTCACACTGGGTGCTTAGTCTGTGGGCACTGATATCAGGGACTGGCCTGACTTCTTGTCACCGTGAGGGTGAGATCCAAAGGCTGGGAAGGTTCTTTCTCTCTGGCCATGCCTCAGTTTCCTCCAGGGTACCTGCTGCTTTGACTCTTTCCCTCCTGCTCAGTCCCTGGTCCTGGTCCGGATGTGTGGGGTTGGGGTGCCAGTGAGTAGGCGGTTCTTCAGCCCATGTGGGAGGAAGGCCAGAGTCATTGTCGGGGAGGTCCTCAGAACACAAGGGTGGGTAACTGGGTGAAGGGTTTGCATTCTCTATGTGTAACACCGTGCATGTGGCAGTGGCGCTGCTGGAGGTGGCAGGGGCTGTATGCTCAGCTGGACCTCCACAGCCATTGATCACTGTCATGGGGACAGTGGCTCACCCCTCCTGAGTGGGGAAGGGACAGAAGGAACCAGGTGGGAAGTGTTGAAGACCTGAGTCCAGCCAGGGATAGTGGCTTGGTGTGTGCCTGTAGTCCCAGCTACGTGGGAGGCTAAGGCTGGAGGACTGCTTGAGCCCAGAATTTTGAGATCAGCCTGGGCAGCACAGCAAGACCCTCATCTCTAAATAAAATAAAATAAATTTTTAAAACGTTAAATTAGCCCAGTGTGGTGGCTCAAGCCTGTAAGTCCCAGCTACTTAAGAGCCTGAGGTGGGAAGATTACTTGAGCCCAGGAGTTTGAGGCTGCAGTGAGTCATGATCATGCCACAGCACTCCAGCCCTGGCAACACAGTGAGGAAAAAAAAAAAAAAAAAGAGGCTGGGTACAGTGGCTCATGCCTGTAATCCAAGAACTTTGGGAGGCCAAGATGGGACGATCGCTTAATCCCAGGAGTTCCAGACCAGCCTGGGGAACGTGGGGAAACTCAGACTATACAAAAAATATAAAAATTGACTGGGCAGGCTGGGCACAGTGGCTCACGCCTGTAATCCCAGTACTTTGGGAGGCTGAGGCAGGCATATCGAAAGATCAGGAGATCGAGACCATCCTGGCCCATATGGTGAAACCCCATCTCTACTAAAAATACAAAAATTAGCTAGGCGTTGTGGCTCACGCCTGTGAGGTACTGTGGAGGCTGAGTCAGGAGAATCACTTGAACTCGGGAGGCAGACGTTGCAGTGAGCCGAGATCGTGCCACTGCACTCCAGCCTAGCTGGGCAAGGTGGTGCGCACCTGCAGTCCCAGCTACTTGGGAGGCTGAGGTAGGAAGATCGCTTGCACCCAGGAGGTCAAGGCTGCAGTGAGCTATGATTGCACCACTGCACTGCAGCCTGGGCAGTAGAGTGAGACCCTGCCTCAAAAATAAAAAAAAATAGGCCAGGCACGGTGACTCATGCCTGTAATCTCAGCATTTTGGGAGGCTGAGGTGGGTGGATCACATGAGCTCAGGAGTTCGAAACCAGCCTGGCCAACATGGTGAAACCCCGTCTCTACTGAAAATACAAAAATTAGCCACGTGTGGTGGCACTCGCCTGTAATCTGAGCTATTTGGGGAGCACAAGAATCGTTTGAACCCGGGAGGCAGAAGCTGCAGTGAGCCGAGATTCTGCCACTGCACTCCAGCCTGGGCAACAGAGTGAGACTTTTGTCTCAAAAAAAAAAAAAAAAAAAAAAAAAAAAAAGCAAGAATAATAAAAATTAAAAAAATAGGCCGGGAGCGGTGGCTCACACCTGTAATCCCAGCACTTTGGGAGACCAAGGTGGGTGGATTACCTGAGGTCAGGAGTTCGAGACCAGCCTTACCAACATAGTGAAACCCCATCTCTACTAAAAATACAAAAAATTAGCTGGGCATGGTGGCACGCACCTGTAGTCCCAGCTACTCGGGAGGCTGAGGCAGGAGAATTGCTTGAACCTGGGAGGCGGAGGCTGCAGCGAGCCAAGATTACACCATTACACTCCAGCCTGCATGACAGAGCGAGACTCCATCTCAGGAAAAAAAAAAAAAAAGCAAAACAAAATAAAAATAAACAAATAGGCCGGGCGCAGTGGCTCAAACCTGTAATCCCAGCACTTTGGGAGGCCGAGATGGGCGGATCACGAGGTCAGGAGATCGAGACCATCCTGGCTAACCTGGTGAAACCCCATCTCTACTAAAAAAAATACAAAAAACTAGCCGGGGGAGGTGGCGGGCACCTGTAGTCCCAGCTACTCAGGAAGCTGAGGCAGGAGAATGGTGTAAACCCGGGAGGTGGAGTTTGCAGTGAGCTGAGATCCGGCCACTGCACTCCAGCCTGGGCGACACAGTGAGACTCCATCTCAAAAAAAAAATAAAATAAAATAAAATAAAATAAAATAAAATAAATAAAATAAAAAGAAATAAAAGAAAAAGAAAAAAGAAAGACCTGAGTCTGGGGTTGGGTGAGCAAAATCTCTAGCCACACTCGGACAGTCTGCAGAGGCTTCGAGTTCACCCCATCCAAGTCTCATTCCCCACAAGCTTCCACAGCACAGAGGGAGAAATGGGGGCTTCCAGTCGCCCATGGAACCTTCTTCCCTTCACCTCCACCTCCAAGCTGTCCTGGAGTCCTGGTGGTTTCGCCTACACACACACACACAGAGTGATCATTCCAGGGGATACTGCCTCCCCTCAGCGCCCAGTGTCCCCTGCCATGGGAGCCTGGAGAGGGGCTTTTACACACTTTGATCATGCCATATCCCTGTTCTGGAAACTGGGTCCCCAAAGCCCCCACCTCACTGGGGATGAGGGTGGCGAAGATGACATAGGACAAACTTTAGCTGGGGTCTGGGGTGCAGATGGCACCCTATACTCCACCATATAAACGAGTGCCCTCTCTGGGTTCTGTCACTTATATACTTTGTCCTGTCTCCCTAGCCCTTAAAAGGAGTCCCACCCATCATCTCGTCTAGGACTGTGTGCGCTAAGGGTGGAATGTAAGGTACTAGGTTTTACTGAAGGAACCTCTCCCTGGGGCACTGAGTGATGGAAGGGGATTTTGAAATTGTCAGTCAAGGTATCCTGCCCATTCTGGCTGAGCTGCGCCAATCAGCTTAGCTTTGGATCTTGGCAGAGTGATTGGAAAGCAGGTGAGTTTGTTTGTTTGTGTTTTGAGATGGCGTCTTGCTCTGTTGCCCAGGCTAGAGTACGGTGGTGCGATCTCGGCTCACTGCAACCTCCACTTCCCAGGTTCAAGCGATTCTCCTGCCTCAGCCTCCTGAGTAGCTGGCACTACAGGCGCATGCTACCATGCCCGGCTAATGTTTATATTTGTATTTTTTTATTTTTTTAATTTAATTTAATTTTTTAAAATTATACTTTAAGTTCTAGGATACATGTGCAGGTTTGTTACATATGTATACATGTGCCATGTTGGTGTGCTGCACCCAATTTTTTTGCATTTTTAATAGAGACGGAATTTCACCACATTGGTCAGGCTGGTCTCGAACTCCTGACCTCAAGTGATCCACCTGCCTCAGCCTCCCAAAGCGCTGGGATTACAGGTGTGAGTCACCATGCCCGGCCTGTTTTTGTTTTTTCACTCTTTGAGACAGGGTCTTTTGCTCTGTGGGCCAGGCTGGAGTGCAGTGACTCAATCATAGTTCACTGCAGCTTTACTTCTCGGGCTCAGGTGATTCTCCCACCTCAGCCTCCTGAGTAGCTGGGACTACAGGTACACACCGCCCCGCCTGGCTAATTTTTTTTTTTTTTTAAAGAGATGGGATTCACCATGTTGCCCAGGCTAGTCTTGAACTCCTGGGCTCAGGCCATCCTCCCACCTCAGCCTCTCAAAGTGTTTGGATTACAGGCGTGAGCCACTGTGCCTGGCCAAGGCGGATCTTGTAAGTCTTGATCTCAACACTCATGTTTTCCATCTTCCTGTCCAAATCTGTGAACTCCAGTCCACAAAGGCATTTCTCAGCTTGGGACAGTGTAGATGGCACCCTGGAGGAAGAGAGGCAGAGCTGGGCCTTGGAGGGTGGGAAGGAGTTTAAAAAGGAGGCAAGTTGGGGGTTGAGGGAGGCGCTCCAGGAAAGACCAGTATGTTGGAATTGCAAATATTTCGAAGGGACTGGAGGGGCTGGGATAGGGATAGGAGACGAGGCCAGAGCGGGGTAGGGCAGCTGAGGAGCCCAGCTTCCTTCTAAGGATGAGGGCAAGCTTCAAAGAGATGAGCAGAACAGGGCAGAGGCACATCTTTTAAATTTTATTACTGTTATTTTTAGAGACAATGTTTTTTTCTGTCACTCAGGCTGGATTGTAGTGGGCTGATAATAGCCCACTGCAGCCTCCAACTCCTGGGCTCAAGGCATCCTTCCTCCTCAGCCTCCCAAAGGGCTGGGATTACAGGCAAGAAGTAATTTTTTTTTCTTTTTTTTTTTTTTGAGATGGAGTCTTCCTCTGTTCTGCAGGCTGCAGTGCAGTGGTGTGATCTCAGCTGACTGCAACCTCCACCTCTCAAGTTCAAGTGATTCTCGTGCCTCGGCCTCCCAAGTAGCTGGAATTACAGGCATGGGCCAGCAGGCCCAGCTAATTTTTGTATTTTTAGTAGAGACAGTTTCAAACTTCTGGCCTCAAGTGATCTGCCCTCCTTGGCCCCCCGAAGTGCTAGGAATACAGGTGTGAGCCACCGCGCCCGGCTAGAAGTCAGTTTTTTATGTTGTCATTGTTGTTGATGTTTTTAACAGAGGGTCTTGCTCTGTTGTCCAAGGTGGAGTGCAATGGCTCGACCACAGCTCGCTGCAGCCTCGACTTCCCGTGCTCAGGCGATTCTCCCACCTCAGCCTCCTGAATAGCTGAGGAAGGCTATGTGCCAGCCATGCCCAGCTAATTTTTTAAAAAAATTTTTGTGGCCGGGCGCGGTGGCTCAAGCCTGTAATCCCAGCACTTTGGGAGGCCGAGGCGGGCGGATCACAAGGTCAGGAGATCGAGACCACAGTGAAACCCCGTCTCTACTAAAAATACAAAAAATTAGCCGGGCGCGGTGGCAGGCGCCTGTAGTCCCAGCTACTCAGGAGGCTGAGGCAGGAGAATGGCGGGAACCCGGGAGGCGGAGCTTGCAGTGAGCCGAGATCGCGCCACTGCACTCCAGCCTGGGCAACAGCATGAGACTCCGTCTCAAAAAAAAAAAAAAAAAAAAAAAAAAAAAAAAAATTTTTGTAGGGATCGGGGTGTCACTATGTTGCCCAGGCTGGTCTCAAACTCCTGGGCCCAAGCCATCCATCCACTTCAACTTCCCAAAGTGCTAGGATTACAGGCATTCGCCACTGCACCCGGCAAGAAGTCAGATGTTAAGTGTTCTGAAGATCTCACTGAATGCCAGGTATGGCGGCTTGCACCTGTAGTCCCAGCTATTCTGGAGGCCGAGGTGAGAGGATTGCTTGAGCACAGGAGTTTGAGACCAACCTGGGCATCATAATAAGGCCCCAACTGGAAAAAAAAAAAAAAAAATCCCGGCCGGGCGCGGTGGTTCAAGCCTGTAATCCCAGCACTTTGGGAGGCCGAGACGGGCGGATCACGAGGTCAGGAGATCGAGACCATCCTGGCTAACACGGGAAACCCCGTCTCTACTAAAAAATACAAGAAACTAGCTGAGCGAGGTGGCGGGCGCCTGTAGTCCCAGCTAGTCGGGAGGCTGAGGCAAGAGAATGGGGTAAACCCGGGAGGCGGAGCTTGCAGTGAGCGGAGATCCGGCCACTGCACTCCAGCCTGGGCGACAGAGCGAGAATCCGTCTCAAAAAAAAAAAAAAAAATCCCACTGAGACCACCTGGGGTTGTCACCCTGCTGCACCTCAACTGTTTTCTGGGAGGCACCCCTGACTCCAGGACACCCAAGTCTGCCTTCACACACAGGACAGGCCCGAGTGGGGGGCAGTTTGCAGCCCCAGGAGTGGGTGTGTAAACACCCTGCTCTCTTGTCCTTTGGGTAGAATCAGTTGCTGGGTCAAAGGCTCAAGAGATACACCCATTCAAAAGACGAGCAGTTGGCAGGGCTGGGTGGCTCATGCCTATAATCCCAGCACTTTGAAAGGCCGAGGCAGGCAGACCACCTCAGGTCAGGAATTCGAGACCAGCCTGACCAACATGGCAAAACCTGTCTCTACTAAAAATACAAAAATTAACATGGTAGTAGGCGCTTGTAGTCCCAGTTACTCCAGAGGCTGAGGCGGGAGAATCCCTTGAACCCGGGAGGCGGAGGTTGCAGTGAGCCGAGATCGCACCGCTGCAACCCAGCCTGGGTGATACGGGGAGCCCCTGTCTCAAATAAAATAAAATTAAAATAATAAAATAAAAAATAAGAAGAGGAGCAGTTCAGGGGTGCTCCCAGTGCCCTGGGAGCCCGACATTCAGGATTCCCAGCTGCTGCTTTTGGAGCCATACGACCCAGCCCTAGAGGCTTGCCCCTGAGCCCATGACCCACAGCGCCAGGAGCAGCCCTGGCTGTTGGCCCTGGAGTGGAAATAACCGGGGCCCTCACCCCTGGAGTGGGACCATTCTAGGTGCACGATCACTCTATGCTGTCCTCAGAAGCCCGCGCGGGCTAAGCACCCGCTGCTGGTGCGCGTCCCCTGCAGGGCTCCTCCCGCCTCGCCTCCCCACCCCTGCACCTGGCAGCCCTCCCGGACACCCCACGGGCTCTTGAGTCCTCATCTCAGGTCGGCTTCTGGAGGGGGCACCCCAAGCCAAGACTAGGCAAGAATGAGGCGAGTTCTGAGCAGCCACAGTCAGTCTGGTCCACGGACGCCACGCGCGTTTTATTTTTAGGTATACACACTAAGAGGAAGAAGGAAAGGAGTCCCCCCAGCATGGATTGAGTCCAAGCCCCCACCGCGGAGGGGGCCGTCACTGTCGAGTCTTCTCTGAAGAGGCCTGGAGGGAGGTGGGGTCCCCACGTGCCCTCGCCGTGCCCGGCGAGAGTCCTGGGCCTGTGCCACCAGGGGTCTCCTACCGGGGCCAGCCGTCGGCCAAGGGCAGCCGGCGCAGGGCGGGCCCGGGCCGCAGAGGCTCTGCCAGGGACCGGGCGAGGAGCAAGGGGTAGGGGAAGGTCTTAGGAAAGTCGCCGGGGCCCCCGGGGGCCGGAGAGAGGCGCTCGGACTTGATGCTGACTGGGGGGGTCGGCGGGGAGGCGCCGCGGGTTGGGGGGCCCTCCTCGCCCAGGCTTCGGCCCCCACTGCAGGGGGAAAGAGAGAGGGAGGCCGTGAGCTCAGCGAGGAAGGGAAGGAAGCCAGGGGATGGCACAGCGTGGGCAAAGGCTTGGCAGGAGGACCTTGGGAAAGGAGGGGGTGGCGGTCCCTCTTGGGGCCTCAAAATAACTGCCCATCCGCACCGGAAGTGTGCGCAGTACCAGGGATGGCCACCAGAGGTCAGCAGCGGCAGGGGCTTTGGAGGAGCGGGACTTGAGCTGGGGCCGTCGTCAGGGCACTTACCTGGGCTGGGAGGGCACGGCGGGGGGCCCATCACCCCTCGAGGGCTGCCAGGGGGCCAGGGTGGGGGGCTGCAACAAGCCAGGGGGCGGTGGAGGGTCTCCCAGGCCATATTCTGGTGGGCAGGAATTGGGGGCTGAGGCCTGGACCTCTCCTTAAGCCTCTTGCAAACCTGACCACCCCCGGTGAGTTTTGAGTTCTGGTGGGTGGGAGAGTGTGGAACTCCCAGAGGGCAGGAGTGCGGACGCTTCCCAGGCGGGGCGGGGCGGGTTAGGGGGTGTACCTGCGGGGCCTGCTGGGAGAAAGGGGAAGCTCCCCAGCGGGGGTCCAGGGGTTGCAGTGGAGCAGGGGCTCTGCAGGCCACTGTAGAGGCTTCTCTGTGCGGAGAGAGGGTGAAGGGGAACCTGAGGCCCACACCCCAGGCTGCCCTGTCTGCCCTCATCAGCCCCACCACACCCTCCCCTCACTCACGGAGGTGTTTAGTGCCCCTCGGGGCCCAGCCAGGCCACCAGGTAGGTCTGGCCTCCGCCCTTCCGTCGGCAGGTACAGTGGGGGTGGTGTCTTGCTCGTGAGGTGGCTTGGTGAGAAGAGAGGGTGCACCAGGCCTGGGGAAGAGGAGACCCCAGAGAGACCCCAGAGAGAGAGGACAGGCGGGCCATGTCAACTAATGAAGTCTGAGGTTTAGAGGTGATGCACACAGTCCGGCAGTGCCAGAGCCAAGATGCACCCAAACAGCCCCCCAGGACCCCACCCCCACCCCACTGTCCCATGCTCACCTGGGGGCCCGGCTTTGGGGGCTGCTGGTCGGAAGGGAGATGGGCGGCTCTGGGCGGGCAGTGCCTCCCCAAGCCCACTGGGGTCACAGCCTGGTGGTGGCAGGGCCCCGTACACCATGTCTGGGCTGGGCATAGCAGGAGCTGCAGGCTTTGGGTAGAGAGAGGATGGGTCAGAGGACCCCAGGCCAGATGGGGTCCAAGGGAGAAAATCCTGATGAGTTCAGGGGCCCAGCTCTACCTTCAGGAAGCCTTTGCTGCACCTCCCACCAGGCTCCCTACCTGCTTTAATCCCACAGGCTGGGGAAGCTTCTGTCTGACTGCCTGTCCTTGACAGGTAGGTTCAGAGCCAAGGCCTCTCACTTAGTGTAGAGTTGGCACTGAGGGGGCTGCACAGAGTGTTTGATGAATCAAAGATGAAATGAAGGCAGGAACTGTTCACCTGTTGAACTCTTATTAATCCTTCAAAGCCCCAGCTATGGTGCCCACTTCTCAAAGAAGCCTTTCCTGCCCAACCAGGTGGAGACCTGCCTCCAAACTCCAGGATCTCTGGCTCTAAGCCCCTCTCTCAGTACCAGCCTCAACAACTTGGGCCTAGGAAGTAGGAGGAATGCTTCATTCACAGAGCCAGGGAGTCACTTACATACAGCCGGGGTCGGGGCAAGGCTGGATCACCCCCTTCGCCTGCCAGCCTCCGAAACTTCTCTCCTGGCTCCTCAGGCCCTTCATCTGGCTCCATTTCTGGCCCATCGAGGCCAATGCCCCTCCGCTTCAGCGTCTATGGGGACAGGAGACAACAGGGTAGACGCTTACCCCTACCCTAGCCAGGGAACCCAGTTCTATGGGAGAGGGGAGAGACTATCCCCATCCAGCTCCATGAGTGGGGAGGAATGCAGGCATGGCCTGCTCTAGCCAAACCCCACTGACCAAACCCCAGTGAGATACCATCTAGCAATTTCCTCCCCTGGGACCAGAGAGCCCAAGGTCCTGCCCAGATCGACATAGCAGGAGCTGAGATTCATGCAGGCCTGTTGGCACTGTCCTAATGCTGCTCCTGACATGACTCCAGGACCTCCATTCTGCCCCCACTTGCAGCCTCATAGCCTGGCATCAAAAGCTGCTTAAGAGGCTGGGCGCGGTGGCTCACGCCTGTAATCCCAGCACTTTGGGAGGCCGAGGCAGGCAGATTCACTTGAGGTCAGGAGTTTGAGACCAGCCTGGCCAACATGGTAAGACCTCCATCTCTACTAAAAATATACAAATTAGCCAGGCATGGTGGCGTATGCCTGTGGTCAGAGCTATTCGGGAGGCTGAGGCAGGAGAATACTTGAATCTGAGAGGCAGAGGTTGTGGTGAGCTGAGATTGTGCCACTACACTGCAGAGTGGGCGACAAAGCGAGACTCAGTCTCAAAAAAAGAAAAAAAAGCTGCTTAAGAAACGCCAGCAGATTTCCTGAGCTGCCTTCTCCTGCGGCCACAGAACCACACACTCCTGGACCCCAACCTCTTCTTTGCCACCTTCTGCCCCACACTTCCAAAACACTGAGGACTCCCAGGCCTAGTCCTAGCCCGCTGCTCTCCGCAGCCCTTAGGCTTTAGCTTCCCATCCCAGTGAAGACCCCTCTGTCTTTTTTGTTTATTTATTTATTTGTTATTTTATTTACTTATTTTTTTGAGACAGAGTCTTGCTCTGTTGCCCAGGCTGGAGTGAAATGGCGTGATCTGGGCTCACTGCAACCTCCGCCTCCCGGGTTCAAGCAATTCTCCTACTTCAGCCTCCCAAGTAGCTTGGATTAGAGGCATGAGCCACCACGCCCGGCTAATTTTTGTGTTTTTAGTAGAGACTGGGTTATGCCATGTTGGCCAGGCTGGTCTAGAATCCCTGACCTCAAGTGATCCCCCTGCCTCAGTCTCCAAAAGTGCTGGGATTGCAGGTGTGAGCTGCCGCGACCTGCCAGATGTGCTTTATTTCTGCTGTCCCTAGAAAGGTCCCCCGACTCTAGGGACAGCAGAAATAAAGGACATCAGCCCGCAAAGCCAGATGAAGATGCTCATCTTTTGTGCAAAGTCCCTGGGCTCTGAGAAAGCAGTGTGCACAGGGCCTGGTGGGGCTGGGGAGGAGGACCTGGGGTACCTCGAGGATATCAGTGTTGGTGCGGCTCTCGTGGGGCTCGCTGTACTCCGTGTACTTCAGCAGCACGCGGTCCATGTCCGTGCTGGCGTACTGGAAGAGGCGGTTGGCGCTGTTGAAGATGATGAGGGCTATCTCACAGTCGCAGAGCACGCTCAGCTCATAGGCCTTCTTCATCAGCCCGAACTTCCGCTTGGTGAACGTTACCTGGACCCAGGATCCGCAGGGGTAGGGGAGAGAAGAAGAGACGAATGTGGGGTGGTGTGGGGGAAGTGGCAGGGCCTAACTCTTCCTCCAACATACCTCAGGATTCTTTCTGGCTGCGCTGGTAATTCTCGTGTCACAACCTAGCAAACTCCTACTGGAACTTAAAAACCCAGCCCAAATGTCTCCTGCCCTTTGAGAAGTGTGCCTTGGGTTCCCAAGCAGAGCCCACATGCTCTCTCTGGGCTTTCCCAGTTCTGGGCCTCCCTCTGTTCTGGCCCTCTGAGTTGGGTGTGGCTGTGTCGAGCTCCATCTCCCCTGTGGCTGGGGTTCCAGCCATCAGGGAGAAAAAATGAATAAGTGATCATGAAAATGAGCAGGCCGGGCGTGGTGGCTCAGCCTGAGGTCCCAGAACTTTGGGAGGCCGAGGCAGGAGGATTGATTGAGGTCAGGAGTTCGAGGCTAGCTTGGGCAACATGGTGAGACCCCGACTCTACTAAAACTACCAAAATTAGCCTAGCCGGGTGTGGTGGCGGTCGCCTGTAATTCCAGCTATTCGGAAGGCTGAGGCAGGAGAATCACTTGAACTCAGGAGGCGGAGCTTGCAGTGAGCTGAGATCGCTCCATGCACTCCAGCCTGGGTGACAAAGTAAACTCCGTCTCAAAAAAAAAAAAAAAGGAAGGAAGGAAGGACAGAAAGAGAGAGGGAAAGAAGGAGGGAAGGAGGGAGGGAAGGAGGAAGGGAGGGAAGGAAGCAGAGAGGGAAGGAGGGAGTGAGGAAGGGAGGGAGGGGAAACAAGAAACACTGACAAGCCGGGCACAGTGGCTTATGCCTGTAATCCCAGCACTTTGGGAGGACGAGGCCGGCGGATCACGAGGTCAGGAGTTCAAGACTACTGTGGCCCACATGGTGAAACCCCGTCTCTACTAAAATGAAAAATTAGCTAGGCGTGGTGGTGCGTGCCTGTAATCCCAGCTACTCAGGAGGCTGAGGAAGGAGAATCATTTGAACCTGGGAGGCAGAGGTTGCAGTGAGCTGAGATCGCACCATAGCACTCCAGCCTGGGCAATAGAGTGAGACTTCATCTCAAAAAAAAAAAAAAAGAAAAAGAAAAGAAAAGAAAGAAATGCTGACACGGCATCAGGACTCCTCATGCCTCCTCATTCCCCTGCAGTTCAATTGGTCAGGTCAGCCCCTTGCCTAGGCCACGCCCCCTACTAGGAATGTCTTTCCCAACCACTGTTCTACCTGGTGGAACTCACCTGCCGATTCCTTTGGTCCAGGATGCGGGAGATCTGGATTTTTTTCCTCCCCATCGTCCCAGGCTGAGTGGAGCGATCTCCGTCTAGGAGGAGAAGAGGGAGAGGACAGAGTGAGTGGGTGGAGAGTGGGGAGGGGTACCCCAGCCTCACGCCTCTCCTCTACCTGCCCCTGCCAGTCACTGAGGGGAAGATGATGGGGAAAATCAAGGCAGGCTGGGTCACTGTCGCAGACTCCGCCCCCGGCCAGCCGGAGGATGCAGTAGAGGCTCAATAAACATGTTTAGACCAAATGGGGCAAGGTGGCTCACGCCTGTGATCCCTAGCATTTTGGGAGGCCAAGGCGGGAGGATCACTTGAGCCCAGGAGTTTGAGGCCAGCCTGGGCAACATGTTGAAACCCCGGCTCTACAAAAAATGCAAAAATTAGCCAGGCATGGTGGCACACGTCTGTAGTCCCAGCTACTCTGGTGGCTGAAGTAGGAGGATCACTTGAGCTGGGGAGGTTGAGGCTGCTGTAGCAGGAGGATGCAGGCACACACTGGAAAGGCCTCCAGCTCAGACTCCTTGGGCCAGGATGTGGGCCTGGCATCCACTTGGTGACTTGGAAGAACTCCTGTACCCCACTCAAGGAGATGTGAGATTGCCCTGGTAGGGGTCCCAGGAGGAGACTGCTGGACTATGTTGGGGTCCAGGCCTTCCCCAGAGACCCCCATGCGAGGTTCCTGGGAACAATCAAATCACGTGGCCCGTCCTGCAGCCACCGCCTGCTGTACAGACATCCCCTGACACCCCAGGGGACGTCCCCGCTCCGCCAACTGTGTGACCACACTCCACCTCCCAGCCTCTACCATGTCACAGGTGACTGAGGCTTCAGGCAAGGGGCCTCTCCAGGGTCACGCGGACCTGCGCTCGGGCCGGGCCTTCCCTCTGACCCTCAGGGCAGCCCTCAGCACAGAAGGCCCTTTCCCCAGGCCTTAGTTTGCTCTTCTGTGAATGGGCTGGTATGAAATGCTGAGCACCCACCACCAGGCTTGGCAACAAGTTACCAAGAAATCCAGATCAGGCCAGGCACGGTGGCTCACGCCTGTAATCCAAGCACTTTCGGAGGCCCAGGCAGGCAGATCACTTGAGATCAGGAGTTCAAGACCAGCCTGGCCAACATGCCAAAACCCCGTCTCTTTTTTTTTGTTTTGTTTTGCTTTTTTGAGATGAGTTTCACTCTTATTGCCCAGGCTGAAATGCAATGGCGCAATCTCGGCTCACTAAAACCTCCGCCTCCCAAGTTCAAGCGATTTTCCTGCCTCAGCCTCCTGAGTAGCTGGGATTACAGGCACCCTCCACTATGCCCAGCTAATTTTTGTATTTTTAGTAGAGATGGGGTTTCACCATGTTAGTCAGGCTGGTCTCAAACTCCTGACCTCATGATCCACCCATCTTGGCCTCCCAAGGTGCTGGGATTACCACTGCATCCAACCTACCCTGGCTCTATTAAAAATGCAAAAATTAACCAGGTGTCGTGGTACACGCCTGTAGTCCCAGCCACTTGGGGGGCTGCGGCAGGAGTGCCGCTGCACCCCAGCCTGGGTGACAGAGCAAGACTCTGTCTTAAAAAGAAAAAGAAATCCAGCTGGGCGGGGTGGCTCATGCCACCCAGTATTTTGGGAGGCTGAGGTGGGTGGATCACGAGGTCAGGCATTTGAGACCATCCTGGCCAACATGGCGAAACCCCATCTCTACTAAAAATACAAAAATGAACCAGGCATAGAGGTGGGCGCCTGTAGACCCAGCTACTCGGGATGCTGAGTCAGGAGAATCTCTTGAACCTGGGAGGCAGAGGTTGCAGTGAGCCGAGATCCCGAGACTTTGATAGCCTTGGCAACAAAGTGAGACTCAGTCTCAAAAAAAAAAAAAAAAAAAAAAAAAAAGTAGGAAAGAAAGAAATCCAGATTGTTCTCTGGGAGTGGTCACAGGGGCTTGCCAGACCCCTGCCCAAGCAGTCTGGGAAAGGCCCTCCATTATCCCAGGGCCCGGAAGTGTCAGATACCTCGACTGGCATATATTGCATGCTGTGTGACCCCAGGCACACCCTCTGCCCTCTCTGGGCTGGGTCTCTGAGCCCCCACAACTATGTAGAGCTCAGGCTGTCGGTCCCAGACCCTCAGCTCTGGCTTAACTTGCTAAATTTAACCTCCAGGGCTAATTTTAATCCCCAGCCGGAATCGGGACTGTTCCCACGGCTGGGATGTGTTGCCCCCACCCTGATGGGTCCCTGGGGGGTGGAGGGGAGCCTTGGTCCAGAGGTCCCAGTGCCAAGATGACTCCGGAAATGCCCCTGATGCCCAGGGTCCCATGAGAGCAGTGGCAGGGCTGGGGCTTAGGCCTGAGTCTCTTAAGCATGGAAGACCTGACTCGAGCCCCTTCTCACTCCATCTGTCCCCATTTTAGACATAGACACCACGGCTAGGGCAGAGGTCATGCGATGGGGGAGAACTGGGCAGTCTCTGTCTGCACTGAGACCCTCAGAGCTGAGACAGGAAGTGAGTTCCAGGCAGAAGGAACAGCAGGTGCCAGGGCCCTGAGGGGGGATAAGAAACAGCTATGAGGGGCCGGCGCGGTGGCTCAAGCCTATAATCCCAGCACTTTGGGAGGCCAAGACGGGCGGATCACGAGGTCAAGAGATCGAGACCATCCTGGCTAACACGGTGAAACCCCGTCTGTACTAAAAAAAAAATACAAAAAACTAGCCGGGCGAGGTGGCGGGCGCCTGTAGTCTCAGCTACTCGGGAGGCTGAGGCAGGAGAATGGCGTAAACCCGGGAGGCAGAGCTTGCAGTGAGCTGAGATCCGGCCAATGCACTCCAGCCTGGGCGACAGAGCGAGACTCCGTCTCAAAAAAAAAAAAAAAAAAAGTAACAGCTATGATGTTGGAGGGTTCAAGTGATTCTCCCGGGTTCAAGCGATTCTCCTGGGTTCAAGTGATTCTCCCGTTTCAGCCTTCTGAGTAGCTGCGATTACGGGCATGCACCACCACACCCTGCTAATTTTTGTATTTTTAGTAGAGACGAGTTTCACCATGTTGGCCAGGCTGGTCTCGAACTCCTGGCCTCAAGTGATCTGTCTGCCCTGGCCTCCTAAAGTGCTGAGATTACAGGCGTGAGCCACCATGCCTGGCCATATTTATTTATTTTTTTGAGACAGAGTCTTGCTCTGTTGCCCAGACTGGAGTGCGGTGGTGCAATCTCAGCTCACTGCAGACTTGACCTCCCAGGCTCAAGTAATCCTCCCACCTCAGCCTCCTGAATAGCTGGGACTACAGGTGAGTGCCACCACTCCCTGCTAATTTTTGTTTTATTTTTGCAGAGATGGAGTCTGACTATGTTATCTAGGTTGGTCTCAAACTCCTGGCTTGAAGTGATCCTCCTGCCTCAACCTCCCAAAGGGCTGGGATTCCAGGTGTGAGCCACTGTACCTGGCCCACTGTGGGCCTTCTGAGCTGGAGGAGGGCTGTGGATTTTGGTCTAAGAGTGATGTGGCGCTATGAGGGCATATTTTATTTTATTTCCTATTTTTTTTTATTTTTTATTTTTAATAGATATATATTTTTGAAATGGAGTCTCGCTCTGTCACCCAGGCTGAAGTGCAGTGGTGCGATCTCGACTCACTGCAACCTCCACCTCCCTGGTTCAAACGATTCTTCTGCCTCAGCCTCCCATGTAGCTGGGACTACAGGCATGTGCCACCACGCCCGGAAAATTTTTGTAGTTGTAGTAGAGACGGTGTTTCACCGTATTGGTCAGGCTAGTCTCAAACTCCTGACCTCATAATCCACCTGCCTCGGCCTCCCAAAGTGCTGGGATTACAGGCATGAGCCACCGCGCCCAGCCTTTTATTTTATTCTTTTTTTTTTTTTTTTTTTTTGAGACGGAGTCTCGCTCTGTCGCCCAGGCTGGAGTGCAGTGGCTGGATGGATCTCAGCTCACTGCAAGCTCCGCCTCCCGGGTTCACGCCATTCTCCTGCCTCAGCCTCCCGAGTAGCTGGGACTACAAGCGCCCACCACCTCGCCCGGCTAGTTTTTTGTATTTTTTTTTTAGTAGAGACAGGGTTTCACCGTGTTAGCCAGGATGGTCTCCATCTCCTGACCTCGTGATCCGCCCGTCTCGGCCTCCCAAAGTGCTGGGATTACAGGCTTGAGCCACCGCGCCCGGCCTATTTTATTCTTTGAGACAGAGTCTTGCTCTGTTATGCCAGCTGGAGTGCAGTGGCGTGATCTTCACCTCCCAGGTTCAAGCGATTCTCCTGCTTCAGCCTCCCAAGTAGCTGAGATTACAGGCATGCACCACCACGCCTGGCTAATTTTTGTATTTTTTTTTTTTTTAATTTGAGACGGAGTCTTGCTCTCACCCAGGCTGGAGTGCAGTGGCGTGATCTCGGCTCACTGCGAGCTCTGCCTCCTAGGCTCACGCCATTCTCCTGCCTCAGCCTCCTGAGTAGCTGGGACCACAGGCACCCGCCACCATGCCCGGCTAATATTTTTTTTGTATTTTTAGTAGAGACGGGGTTTCACCATGTTAGCCAGGATGGTCTCGATCCCCAGACCTCGTGATCCGCCCGCCTCGGCCTCCCAAAGTGCTGGGATTACAGGCGTGAGCCACTGCGCCCGGCATAATTTTTGTATTTTTAGTAGAGACAGAGTTTTGACAAGTTGGCCAGACTGGTCTTGAACTCCTGACCTCAAGGGATCCACTGGCCTCAGCCTCCCAAAGTGCTGGGATTCCAGGCATGAGCCACTATGAGAAGGTTTTTTTTTTTTTTTTTTTTTTGAGACGGAGTTTCGCTCTGTCGCCCAGGCTGGAGTGCAGTGGCCCGATCTCAGCTCACTGCAATCTCCGCCTCCTGGGTTTAAGCTATTCTCCTGCCTTAGCCTCCCGAGTAGCTGGGACTATAGGCCCCCGCCACCACACCAGGCTAGTTTTTTGTATTTTTTAGTAGAGACGGGGTTTCCCTGTGTTAGCCAGGATGGTCTCAATCTCCTGACCTCATGATCTGCCCGTCTCGGCCTCCCAAAGTGCTGGGATTACAGGCGTGAGCCACCGCACCCGGCCTATGAGAAGGTTTTAAGCAGAGAAGGGATGGGCTTGGTTTATTATTTTAAGACTCAGCTCATGGCTTCCATGGAGAGCAGGTCTGTTGGAGGCCAGGATGGAGATGATGGGCGGCTGGAAAGGAGGGAAGGGCTGTGTCTGTCTGGACAGAGACTGGGGGTAGGGCCCCCTCTGTGCTGGGCCTGTGCCTTGCACTTTAAGTCACTGTACTCCAGGGTGCTTTAGTCCTCCAGAAGCCAGCAGGCCCTACACCAACTCTGGAGCCAGGCCTAACAGGTGCAGATGAACGCACGCAGGAGTTTCACTCTCCTGAACCCCAGTGACGTGGAACCAAAGCCATCCTCCACTCTAGCCCCTGAGGGAATCTACCCAACACACAGCTCTGAGCATGGTCCTCTCCTGCTCACACACTCTCCATGGCTCCCCACTGCCCTTATGAGAAAGTTCCAGCACTTAGCCTGGCATTCAAGTCCTCTTCCCAAATCAGCTCTTGCCTGCTTCTCTCTCTTCGATAAATATCTCTTGACTAGAAGGAGCCTTTCCCCTTTTTCACCAAGCCAACTCCTATTCAAACGTTAAAACCCAGTTCAAGGCCAGGCGCGGTGGCTCAAGCCTGTAATCCCAGCACTTTGGGAGGCCGAGACGGGCGGATCACGAGGTCAGGAGATCGAGACCACCCTGGCTAACACGGTGAAACCCCGTCTCTACTAAAAATACAAAAAATTAGCCGGGCGTGGTGGCGGGCGCCTGTAGTCCCAGCTACTCGGGAGGCTGAGGCAGGAGAATGGCGTGAACCCAGGAGGCGGAGCTTGCAGTGAGCCGAGATTGCGCCACTGCACTCCAGTCTGGGCGACAGAGAGAAACTCCGCGCCCCCCGCCAAAAAAAAAAAAAACAAAAAACAAAAAACCCAGTTCAAAAAACCCATTCCTCTAGGAAGTCCTCCCTGCCATTCTTCTGGTCTCCCACAGTCACCATCCTCCTCCAGTTCAGATTCCATGGCATTGAGGGTATATATATCCAGATTTGTCTCCTCCAGACTAAAAGCCCCTCTGGATAAGGACTAGGAATGGACAGTAAGGTTTGGTGAGCAGAGTAGATCAAGGGAGATGTCACTGACCTCCTCCACAACCCTACAGCTTCCCTCAACAACTTCCTCTCAGACTGCCCCAGCTGATACCCTGCCCAGAAATACACGCGCATGCAAATCCAGCCACTCAGCGTTGACTTGTCTCGGGCCCAGGTGTGAAGAGCCAGGCAAAGAATGCGGAGGCGGCAGGCCAGAGTGTGTATGTATATTTGTAGTCACATGCAAATCCCTGCCCAGAGCCGCAGACAGACCCTGGTGGCCCATTCTCCAGATGTTGGTGTGATCGGAACTGCTGGGGGAGGTGGCGGCACAGGCTGAATGTGCCAGGCACGAGGGGGGAAGCTGAGGTTTGGGGAGGCCTCTTCCGCACACACATACCCTCCCTGCTTTGTCCAGCCAGAAATCAGAGAGCTGTGGCATCTGCCCAGCGCAGAGGCAGAGAGGTGGACCTATTGACCAAGGAATGAAGCATAGAAGAAAGAACAGGAGAAGAAACCCAGGAGAGCTTCCTGGGGGAGGAGGCATGTAGTTGGAGGTAGATGCAGAGGCTGGATGGGATCCTGAGCAGAAGGGGAGGGAGGTGGGCATTTGAAACTAAGAGTCCAGCACCTTCCTAGCCCTTTTGTTGCACCCTCATACTTAGCATTTATTAAGCATCAACCTGTGCAAGTCACTGAGCCAAGAACTGACCTCAGAAGAAGTAGAAAGCTTAAGTAGACCCAACAACCATAGAAGATTAGAAAGGTGACTCAGGACCTAGCATTAAAAAAGTAATAAAGTGGGCTGGGCACGATGGTTCACACTTGTAATCCCAGCACTTTGGGAGGCCAAGGTAGGAGGATTGCTTGAGCCCAGCTCAAGCAGTTCAAGACCAGCCTAGGCAACATAGCGAGACCCCTATGTCAAAAAAAAAAAAAAAAATTGTTTTGAAAGGCAATAGAATTCAAGGCTGCAGTGAGCTTTGAGCCACTGCACTCCAGCCAGGGCAACAGAGTGAGACTCTGTCTCTAAAAAATAATAATAATTTCAAAATTAAAACAATAACTAAAAAACATGTTTAAAGGCAACAGGCCCAGGTGGTTTTACAGCTATTTTCTCAAATCTCACACAACAGGAAAGTGCAGTGTTATTTCAATGAACTTAAATCTTTGAAATAGACAGGATCTAGCCAAGTCATTTTTTTTGTTTTTGAGATGGGGTCTTCCTCTGTTGCCCAGGCTGGAGTTCAGTGGTGCAATTATAGCTCACTGTAGCCTTGAACTCCTGGGCTCAAGTGATCCTCCAGCCTCAGCATCACGAGTAGCTGGGATTACAGCTAAGTGTCACCACACCCAGCAAAATTTTTAAAACTTTTTGTAGAGACAGGGATTTGCTATGCTGCCCAGGCTGGTCTCAAACTCCTGGCTACTCCCAGATACTTCCAGTTACTTGAGAGGCCAAGGTGGGAGGATTGCTTGAGGCCAGAAATTGGAGACCAGCCTGGGCAACATAGCGAGAACCTGTCTACAAAAACAGTGAAAATTAGCTGCACGCCGTGGCACACACCTGGCTATGTGGGAGCCTGAGGCTTGAGGATTCTTCGAGCCCAGGAATTCAACATTACAGTGAGCAATGATCTTGCAAGCTCTTCCACTTCCAGCTCTCATGCATTGCTGGTGGTAGAGGAAAAATGGACAAACACTTGGATAATTCTCTGGCATCTACTAAATCTGAACAGATGCCTACCCTGTGTCCCAAGACAAACGGGTCCAAGTTGCACCTGAAGATACAGACAAGAATGTTTTCTGCCGCTTCGTACATCATTGCCTCAAACTGGAATCAACCCGGAAGCCCTTAATGGGAGAGTTGGTCAACACGTTTTTGTCGATTCTATGATCAGTTATGGCACAACACAGAAAAGGGGTGCACTCTTGCTACACACAACCACGTGGATGCATCTCAGAGACCATTGGCCAATTCGACGATCCCAGACTCCACCGAGAGGACGCGCTGTGTGATTTTATTTACATGAAGTTTCAGAACAATCAAAACTCACTGATGCAGCTGGACGCAGTGGCTCAAGCCTATAATCCCAGCACTTTAGGAGGCCAAGGCAGGCAGATCACTTGAAGTCAGGAGTTTGAGACCAGCCTGACCAACATGGCAAAACCCCATCTCTACTAAAAATACAAAAAGTAGCCGGGCGTGGTGGCATGTGCCTGTGATCCCAGCTACCTGGGAGGCTGAGGCAGGAGAATCACTTGAACCCAGGAGGTGGAGGTTGCAGTGAGCCAAGATTGTGCCATTAAGGCCGGGCGCGGTGGCTCAAGCCTGTAATCCCAGCACTTTGGGAGGCCGAGACGGGCGGATCATGAGGTCAGGAGATCGAGACCATCCTGGCGAACACGGTGAAACCCCGTCTCTACTAAAAAATACAAAAAACTAGCCGGGCGAGGTGGCGGGCGCCTGTAGTCCCAGCTACTCGGGAGGCTGAGGCAGGAGAATGGCGTGAACCCGGGAGGCGGAGCTTGCAGTGAGCTGAGATCCGGCCACTGCACTCCAGCCTGGGCGACAGAGCAAGACTCCGTCTCAAAAAAAAAAAAAAAAAAAACCCTCAGTGAGGCTGATGGACATCAGACAGAACATTGGTCACCCTGGGCAGCAGCTGTGACTAGGCAGTGGCCCAAGGGGGAAGTCCCAGGGGCGGGGGAAGTCCTGTTCCTGGATCCCAGGTTTGGGTACACAGATGTGTTCAGTTTGTGCAAATGTGTTGAGCTCAACTCTACTGATTTGTGCATTTTTCTTCATGTGATTTATTTCAAAACGAAGATTTCTCTCTCTCTCTCTCTCTCTCTCTCTCTCTTTTTTTTTTTTTGAGGTGGAGTCTTGCTCTGTCACCCAGACTGGAGTGCACTGGATGATCTCAGCTCACTGAAACCTCCATCTCCTGAGTTCAAGCAATTCTCCTGTCTCACCCTCCGGGGTAGCTGGGATTACAGGCGCCCGCCACTGTGCCTGGCTAACTTTTGCATTTTTACTAGAGATGGGTTTTCACCATGTTGGCCAGGCTGGTCTTAAACTCCTGGCCTCAGGTGATCTGCCCACCTCGGCCTCCCAAAGTGCTGGGATTACTGGCATGAGCCATGGCGCCTGGCCCAAAAGGAAGATTTCTTTTTTTTTTTTTTTTGAGACGGAGTCTCGCTCTGTCGCCCAGGCTGGAGTGCAGTGGCCGGATCTCAGCTCACTGCAAGCTCCGCCCCCCGGGTTTACGCCATTCTCCTGCCTCAGCCTCCTGAGTAGCTGGGACTACAGGCGCCCGCCACCTCGCCCGGCTAGTTTTTTGTATTTTTAGTAGCGACGGGGTTTCACCGTGTTAGCCAGGATGTTCTCGATCTCCTGACCTCGTGATCCGCCCGACTCGGCCTCCCAAAGTGCTGGGATTACAGGCTTGAGCCACCGCGCCCGGCGGAAGATTTCTTAAAAAGCTTCCAGCCAGAGCAACATAGTGAGATCCTGCCCCTGCCCCTAAAAAAAAAAAAAAAAAAAATTGGGGCCAGGCGCAGTGGCTCACGCCTGTAATCCCAGTGCTTTGGGAGGCTGAGATGGGAGGATCGCTAGAGCCCAGGAGTTCAAGACCAGCCCGGGCAACATGGCAAAACCCTGTCTCTAGGAAAAAAAAAAAAAAAAAGTTAGCTGGGTGTGGTGGCATGCCTGTGGTCCCAGCTACTCAGGAGGCTGAGGTGGGAGAATCAGTTGAGCCCAGGAAGCAGAGGCTGCAGTGAGCCAAGATCACACCACTACACTCCAGCCTGGGCAACAGAGCCAGACCCTGTCTCAAAAAATAAATAAACAAAAATAAAAAATTTAGCCAGGTGTGGTGGTGCGCCCCTTAGTCCCAGCTACTCAGGAGTCTGAAGTGGGAGGATCACTTGAGCAGGGGAGGCAGAGGTTGCAGTGAACTGAGATCCTGCCACTGAACTCCAGCCCTGGCAACATTGTGAGACTCTGACTCTAAAAAAAATTTTCTTTTCTTTTTTTTGAGACAGAGTTTCGCTCTTGTCACCTAGGCTGGAGTGCAGTGGTGCAATCTCAGCTCACTGAAACTTCCCCCTCACCAGTTCAAGCAATTCTCCTGCCTCAGCCTCCTGAGTAGCTGGGATTACAGGCGCCCACCACTACACCCAGCTAATTTCTGTATTTTTAGTAGAGATGGGGTTTCACCATGTTGGCCAGGCTGGTCTCGAACTCCTGACCTCAGGTGATCCACCAGTCTCGGCCTCCCAAAGTTCTGGGATTACAGGTGAGAGCCACAGTGCACAGCCTAAAATAAATAAATAAATAAATAAATAAATAAATAAAAATTTAAATCTCGCCGGGCATGGTGGTGTCTGCCTGTAGTCCCAGCTACTTGGGAAGCTGAGGCGGGAGGATGACTTGAGCCCAGGAGGTGGCGGCTTCAGTGAGCTATGAGGGGGCCACTGCACTCCAGCCTGGGTGACAGAGTGAGACTCTGTCTCTAAAAATAAAAGAGCTCCCTGCTGCTTATGGCTGCCTTGGGGAGCAGTGTCTGTTCAGGCTAGAGTGAAGTGACACGAAGAGGCTGAGCCAGTGGGAAATACGGAGTTTGAATGGAGACAGGGGTGGCACCTGGGCAGAAGTGGACTGTTCATTTGGTGACCAAAGGGGCAGGATGTGCTGGTGACCTGGGATAGAAGACGAGCCTGGTGATCCCAGGCCTGAGCAATGTGAGGGTTAGGGGGAATTGAGAGGACAAAAGAAAAGCTCAGGAGTACGGAAGCATCAGAAATTCTCTGGCAGTATCTGTGGTCACTAAGTCAATCAACAAACATTACCCTGAAGCTCTTCAAGCCATAGATGATCATCTCCCCAGACTGGCGAGGCCTCTTAGACCCCCAGTAATGGAGATGGGGTGCTGGAGGGAATCCCACCCCTCCGCTGACCCTTCCCCTCTGGCCTCTCTGCGTGGTAGGACTCAGTTTTCTCACCTGTTAATTGGGGGTGAGAATCCTTCTCCCACCAGCTGGGGAGAGGGTAGGGAGCAGGGGTCTATTGAACTTTTTGTTTTTTTGAGACTCGCTTTTTTTGAGTCTCACTCTGTCGCCCAGGTTGGAGTGCAGTGCCGTGATCTCGGCTCCCTGCAACCACTGCTTCCCAGGTTTAAGCGATTCTCCTGCCACAGACTCCCGAGTAGCTGGGATTACAGGCGCACACTACCACACCTGGCTAATTTTTTATATTTTTGGTAGAGACGGGGTTTCAGCATGTTGGTCAGGCTGGTCTTGAACTCCTGGCCTCAAGTGATCCACCCGCCTCGGCCTCCCAAAGTGCTGGGATTACAGGCGTGAGCCACCGCACAGGGGCCTCTACTGAACTTTTCTTCTGGCTTCTGGGAAGCCAAAAGGAAGAAGGTCGGGGTCTTGGAACTAGGGGTGCTGAGTCAGTGCCGCATCCTGCAAGACCACCTTGAAATACTGTCATCAGTCACCTGCTTCCTCCCCTGTAAAATGGGTCACAGGATCCTAACCTCACAGGCTTTGCAGCAGGGGTTTAAGAGAAAAGATTAGGAGCAAGTCAAGTTCCCTTTCTTGGCACCCGTGCGGGACTTTACTGGGGGGCTGAGCTGCAGTCACTTTGCCAGACCCCTGAGCCCGCAGGGAGGCCATGGCTTGGCGGAGGAACCCAGGCCGGGAAAGGAGAAGTGAGAGGCAGGTGGGTTGGGTGGGGGTGGGGGTGAGGGCCCGCGGGAGGCGATGAAGCGGGGAGGGGGCGCTGCTCCTGGGCCCTGCAGCGAATCAGGCCTGTGGCCCCGCCTCACGCAACCCAGGCTGTGGTTTCATCACCTGCTCCCCAAGTACCTCATTATGGGCGACAGGAAGAGCCCCTTGGAAAGCCAGGACCCCTCCTCCCCTCTCCTGGGGGCTCCAGCGGCTCCGACCCCAGCTGCAGGCGACCCTCCTTCCCCAGCCAGAGCCCTGGGCCCGCCTCCTCCCCTGGGGGCCTAGGGAGGTGGTGCCCAGGTCGGGGGGCAGGTAGGTGACTTGGCGGCCTGGCTCAGTTCACAGCGGTCCCTGCAGCCCCGCACCTGCCCTCAGGGACTCAGGGGACAGGGTGGGCTCGGGCAGTGACTCCCCCGTTGCTGAGCTTCTCTGGAACTCAGTTTCCTCCCCCGGAAAGTCAGGGGGCAGCAGGAGCCACCTGGCTGAACTGAGGGGAGGGGCTTCATAGTAAGGTGCTTTATAGATGCGGGGAGCGTTTGTGGCCGCTGGGCCCTGATGCCTCTCAGAAGGCCTTGGGGTCACCTCTCCATCCTGGGGGAACCCAGCTCAGATTGAGGGCCCCAGAAAGCTCCTGGTGGAGTGCTGGGGGACAGGGGCGGATGGGGTTGGGGGTCACTCCATCCTTGTATGGGCACAATGGGAGGTAGGAATATTCCCCACACATGGAGACCCCCAAACAGAGCCGCGGAAAATCCACAGATGCCCAAAACATAACAGATACCCCAAACACACAAGGATTCCTCCTGCGAAAGTCCCCAAAATACATGTAGTTCACAGTACGTCAAACCCCCAACCCACACAGCTCTCCAAACACACGTCCCCAAAACACATTCTGTTCCCTCTGCATAGACAGAACCTGAAAACACTCAGACACACCCAGACGCCCCATCACATGCCAATCCCCCAAATGCACAGACACATACAGATCTCCCTAAACACATGCCAGTCCCCCAAATACAGACCCCTTTCTCCCGAACAATGTGGAGACCCCCACCAGACGCATGCAGACTCTTCCAGAAAACATATACAGACTTCCCCCAATCCACACTGGTCCCCCCATTACACAGGTAGGGCCCCCCATCCCTGCAGTGGTATCACCCACACTCTGGCTTTCCTCTTTTTTGTTTTTTTGTGAGACAGAGTCTCGCTTTGTCACCCAGGCTGGAGTGCAGTGGCATGTTCTCCGCTCACTGCAACCTCTGCCTTCCAGGTTCAAGCGATTCTCCTGCCTCAGCCTCCCCAGTAGCTGGGATTACAGCCATGCGCTATCATACCCAGCTAATTTTTGTATTT